TTTATAACTCAAGGTGAATTTCCTAACAATAAATACATCAATTAAATATATGAATTTTTTAATTACAATGCAATTACTTAGAACTAATATCTTATAAGGCTTGCAGATAAATTGATATCATGGAAACAAATTAAAATGCATTACGCATTTTGACTAATACTGATAATAAGTGAAATTATTGAAAAATAAAATAAATCTAAGAATGTAATTTATATAATTTTATTCGTCATGCACTGTAAAGGTGGTGTTAAAATATTAATAAAATTTAATTTTAATTCTATTAAATTTATGAATTTAGTCTGTCGTAAATGTGAAGTAAGATAAAAAGTAAAATACAACTAAGAATAGATCTATTAAATTTTATTTTTCTATTTATTTCTGTTCTCATAATCATTTTGATAAGATTACATATTTATTACAGCTAGGCAATTATTACGTAACATTGCGCCCATTGTCCATTTTATTAAACGATTTTTTTATCCATTGCACAAATTAAAATCTTATACAGGGTGTAGCGTATATAATCTATCAAAATTAAACTACAGCTTTGCGTTTTTTTTTTTTTTTTCGTAAATTAAAGTTCAATTATGGAACAAAATATTTTCTCTGGAACGGTCCTGTCTATGTGCTGTACGATAAGTTACATGCTGTAGACCACGCGCGTAAACAAATAGTCGTTGAAAGATAGAAAGATACTTCTCAATTTCTGGGGAATTTTTCAATGCAAAAGTACAAACTAAGGAAAATAGATATTTAAAATAAAATTAATATTTTCTTATTATAATAATTAATAGTAATTACTATCTTAAATGCATTGTTGTTAGTGCAAGAATTCGCAAACAAAACCACATCCGTAAGTATATTATCAACTGCGTGCACTGAACAAACTCCATTAAACTATGGAACAAAATGAAATAAACCTTACCATTTGCAAAAACGCATTCGTTGATCTCAATCCGGGGATAAAATCTGTTGAACTGGTTGCAGATGATAGGGGTGCAACAGCTGGCGCCTTAAGAGGCGGGGTCTTCGTCAAAAATTTCCAACACTGCATCTTCAACATTAAGGTTCACTTGCTGACCACGTTCTTCTCCTCGAGGAATAACACTTCCCGTATCTGGCAGTCGCTGAACGCACTGTCGGATTGTATTTGCACACGGGGGGTGACGTTGTGGCCATCGTTCCCGGTACAACCTAGTCGCCGCGAGCGCATTTTCTCCGGCTGCACTATACACTAACACCATATCTACACGTTTGAAAATAGTAAATGCATTGGTTTCTCGGTTCATTGTAAAATTAGTTTGTGCACAAACTAAAAAATTAAGCAAAATAATAAATAAGAATCTCGTTTTTAATGTAATCGGCACGCTATTCTTATTTCTTACTTCTTTATAAAAATTACATCGTCACTATCGTCTGGAATCTTTCACTTTTTAACACTGATGCATCGATGGACGATGCTTAACATTTAATAATTAAGTGAATAATGAATTCAATACAAATACAAAATCAGTTGACTGCACAAATTTTTTGACAATGTAACCTAACCTTCTTTTAGTATTTTACTAGTATTAGATTATACCGACTTAAATTATATGGTTGCATCTCGGGTCGCATAAAAACATTTCCAAAGTTTTTAATAAATAACACAGGGTCGGCCTTCATTTTCGTTGAATAAATTAACTTTAATTTACAAAAAAAAAAAAACGCGAATATCATCAGGAAGCTGTAGTTTAATTTTTATAGATTATACACGCCATATCCTGTATTTTAAATAGGTACCTACGATTTGACCCAGAATTTTACAATAATCTCGCGGATCCTATCAAATTTTCCTATATAAATAGGAAATATTCAGTTATATCTGCAAGATATTGAAGTAGCTAAGTTGCGATTACATAATTTGATATTAATTTGTTAATTAATTTATACTTTGTTTACATACTTAAGCCCACAACTAGAGATTTAAGCGAATGCAGATGGAATAAAATATAAATATATAAATAAATTATAATGAATAATTCGATCACTATATAATAATATGTATATATTATATATTCTAGAAATGTAATTAAATAATTAAGGAAAAGATCAGCTAATTAGTTACTCCCTTCAAATTACGTAGTTACTTTTTGGGACCACTTTGAGTAATTATACACAGAGAACAAGAAAAGTACTTCACTTGGTAAGCGAATAACACTAATATTTTATTATACATTAATTTATTATTTATTATTATTCATTAATAAATGTACATACTCTAACTGGATATGGGCTGAAAATGTGAAGAATTGACACATAATGCTTAGATAAAATATGGTTTGTTGTGGAGTTACTGGGTGTTTTATTCAAAAAACTTTAAATGATTTTTATCCATTACTTTAATCCTATTTGATATTTCTCTATCATACTTGACATAGTTTAGATACTATAGAACATGTTAAAAAATGTTACAAAATCGTTCATGGCTACTACCAGAGGCGTACGACAGGGGTAGAGGGACAGTTTCCCATTCCCAACTTCTACGTTACTACATTTTTGAAGTTGAAGCTATTTTCTTGAAATGCAAATTTGTACAAAGATGTATCAGAATAAAAGAAAATTAGATGTGTGAGAAAACTTATGAAAAAGTGTATAGAGGCATAGGGATGTCATTGCGAATACATTCTGTAAAATCACTTAAATAATTTCTTTAGGAAAATGTAAGCAGCATGGCTCATATCTATGCCACTGGTTTGAGTTGAGACTTATTTTTTTCCATTAAATTTTATTTTGTTCATGTATCGGATACATAAAATTTCGTTGCAATGTCTGTTTTTATTCAGAATATATTTAGAGATGTACTGATAGATACTATACAGTACGCGCCTAATGTATGGAATAAATTCAGTAAAAACGAAACAATTTTTTTGGGAAAAATCCTTGAACAGGTCGATTCTTAATTTAAAAAATACATATTTTAGCATAAAAGGCGATTTTCAACCGTCATTTGTTTTCGAGTAATGACGTCATCAACATTTTTTTAAATAGCAACCGCCTATTTTTTTTTCTTAATTCTGAAAGATCGTTTCATTGTCGATCCGACAGTATTAAAATGTTGCCATCTTACATAGGAAAGTTTTCGAGTAAATGACGATTGAATGTTAGAAAACGTAAATTTTATTCCATAAAAAAATAACAATTCCTATGTCAAGCAAATACAATTCATTAAGTTTTTTACCTAAATTAAGTGTTCAAATTGCCACCCACCGACTTTGACAATACGCAAGTCTGTGTAGAAATTCCTCTTGCACATTTGAAATATTTCTGGGGTAACTTTGTGTATTTCATCTATAAAACAATTTTGGAGTTCTTCTAAATTATGTGGTACAGTTTGGACTTTAAATAGCCCCATAAGAAATAGTCCAGGGGTGTAAGATCTGGGGATCTCGCGGGCCATTCTATCGGTCCTCGTCTGTCGATCCACCTCCTTGGAAAACAATTGTCCAGAAAATCTCGAAGAGGGCGTGCATAGTGCGGAGGTGCACCGTCTTGCTGAAACCAGATGGTGTCATCAGGAATATCAGGGTCATTATCGTTAGGAAAAATAAATATCTTTCTTCCGTAAGGGTTCCTTCAAACAAGAAAGGCCCTACTATTCTGTTGTCAACTATTCCAGTCCACGCATTTAATTTCTGTGGGTGTTGGGTATGTGTCTCTGCCATCCAATGAGGATTTTCCCGACTCCAATACCTGCAAGTTTGACGGTTCACTGTACCATTGAGACAAAACGTGGCCTCGTCTGAAAAAAGTATTTGCCGGTGTAAATCTCTATTTACTTGACATAAATCCATCATAATTTCACAAAAGTGTAAGCGGCGGTCGGGATCGTCTTCATTGAGTTCCTGCACAAGTTGAATTTTGTAGGGATGATATTTTTCCTGCCTCAGGATACGTAGCACTGTGGTCTGACTAATTTCATTGTTTAATGCAACCAATCGTGAAGTATTATGAGGATTATCTACCATACTTATCAAAATGTTCTGTTTGTGATCTTCACTAACGCTTGGACGTCCAGGTTTTGGAATATCTACAACATTGCCAGTTTCTCTAAATTTAGATTCTATCTTACTGACTGTTGATTGGCTGATACGGCGATCTGGATGTTTTTCATTAAATAAATCGCAAACTTCCTGCTGCGTTCTAGTCTTATCCCCGCATCCGATAAGAATTAAAATTTCAATTCTTTGTGTGACAGTTAAATGTGCCATAATACTTTAAATTCAACAATAATTTTTATATCGCTTACAATACTTAGAAAGTCGGTATGACAGTGACACTTTGTAAAGATTTACACCTACGTGATCCATAAAAAACTTCAGGCATTTCGAAAAACTAAATTTGATAACGTTTTTGCTTTATTTTAATTGATTTGGGTTTTCTAACATTCAATCGTCAATTACTCGAAAACTTTCCTATGTAAGATGGCAACATTTTAATACTGTCGGATCGACAATGAAACGATCTTTCAGAATCAAGAAAAAAAAATGTCGATGACGTTATTACTCGAAATCAAATGACGGTTGAAAATCGCCTTTTATGCTAAAATATGTATTTTTTAAATTAAAAATCGACCTGTTCGAGGATTTTTCTCTAAAAAAAATTTGTTTCGTTTTTACTGAATTTATTCCATACTTTAGGCACGTACTGTATAAAAAATCAATTCCTGTGAACTACAAAGGCAAACGTTTATATAAAAATATGCTTGTTGTTGTTGCTTCCTGTATTATCTTTCCCATAACCCACAACATTGATATAAAAACAAAAGATGGATCTGTTTCTGCATTTAGCTTTCATTTATTTAATAAAATTTACACACATGTTATACTTCACAAGTCGTTACATACTTTATTCCATTCCAGCGAGGTAATATATTTAATTGTAAAACAATAAGTTTTGCATTAAATCGATTAGTGATTTATTTACTGACAATTATTCACAATAATTTGTCGATTTTTTAGGTCAAGTGGATGATTCAAAACGTGGTCAGAAGTCACTTTGGAAACGACGTCCCTCCCATATATGAATTGTCAAAAAATGTAAGCTTTATACTACAAAATGGTCACGCTACCGTCACGTATCCTAGACCATATTTACCAAATGTAGCCGAAATTGCTTGTATCCACTGCAAGAGAGCTAAGCCTTTGCCTGATGTAAGTATAATGCAGAACCTCCCACCACATTTTTGTTCAGTACAAGAAATTTCTGGAAATTACTTTCTCTATTAAATCATTTTCAAGCTGGTCGTACAGTTGCTATATTCGCCGAATACCGCATCGAACGTACTAGGTCTGTTCAGAAGATCACCGAACTTTTTGAATTACGTGCTAATGATGTTTATTTATATGCAGTTGGCAGCATTGCGCTGCACATAACCTACTCTGTAACCACATGTTTTTGAATCGTTGATATCTCATTTAGTTTTCGTGATACTGTTATTTGAATGCAATGTGGTTAAGTGACAATGATGATTTTTGAAATGTGCAATTCAACTCCGGATCGCACGCAATGTTACGAATGGTTTTCGTGATTTAAAAGTGGTCTTCGACCAGTAAGGCCTTCGACTTCAACTGATTTCTCCCAAGTTCAGAAAGTCAAAGATCTGGTCCGTGCAAATCGCCGATTGACTGTCAAGTCCACTTTTTTAAAATGTTGGGAAAATGAAAAAACTTGTTCATTTGGAAACAAGTTCACAAAAATTAAAAAAATTAGACTTGCCTGTTTCTCACACCAAAATATGTATTAAAAGACGATTGATATTTATCAATTATTTATTACATTTTGTAGTAACAGTGTTTTTCCTTAAAGTAACGAAGAATTGGTTTCATAGCCTTCATTAGACATTTCAGGTGGGTCTTCTTCAGGATGGTTGTCGATGGGCAAATCTCCAAATATAGTGTTATAATACGCCTGATCAGCTAGTGGGACGTATTTTTGCACTAAAATTTGGCATTCCTTTATTTGTTTGTCATTTATTGATAAACGATTTCTGTAGGCTAATTCACTCGGCAAAGACAACTGAATTTGTGGGTTCATCTTGATGAGCGAAAAACTTGAGAAAACATTCCAGCAGAAACAGAGCATTAAATAAATCTATTATATCTTGTGTATTTGAACTAACGGTTGATCCGATGACGAGCGTCACGAGCGGTAACCGCCACCTGTATATTCAGCCCCCCTACAGGCAAATCCCCACCACAAATTACACGCATTTTGGAGCAACAATCAGGCAAGTCCTGGACTTTCCCGTTTCTTGGGCCAAATTGTTTAAACAGGCAAGTAGTTTGTCATTATATCTTCACCAATATGCCACGGACTTGCCTGATTCTTACACCATCAAGGTCTTCAATTGCGGGAGAGATTATCATCTCGATGGGGTCATGTCAGAACATTTTAACTGAATAATTGAACATGCATCGCAGAAAATCGCGTGGACGTTTGTCAGCAACTCCTTGAACAATCCAATGACGATGAAACGTTCATTCAAAAGATCATAACGGGAGACGAAAGCTGGGTTTATGGCCACGACATTGAGGCAAAAGTTCAATCATCACAATGGATTGATAAAGGATCTCCACGCCCCAAGAGAGCACGTCAGTCTCGATCCAATGTCAATGTGATACTCACTGTTTTTTTTTTCGATTTTAATGGAATTGTGCATTTTGTATTCTTGACTCAAGGTGAAACAGTGAACCGTGTGTGCTATCAGAGCGTTTTACTGCGACTAGAGTTGTGCTGAGACAACCATGGTTCTTTGCACCATGACAATGCTCCCGCACACTCAGCTATGTCATTCGTCAGTTTTATACCAATCACTGTCCTCTCTCACCCTCCTTACTCGTCAGACTGGACTTCTTGCGATTTTTTTTATTTTCGAAATTAAAATCATGACGCCGGTTTCAGATGATTGATGACATTAAAGCAAATTCGTCACACTTTAAACGCCATTTCAATTAAAGCGGTCCAGGACTGCTACGCGAAATGGAAACATCGCTGGGAAAAGTGTGTGAGTAGGAGAGTATGACTTTGAAGGAGACAAGGACCAATAATGTATAAAATTAATAGTGCAGTTTAAAAAATAAAGTTCAGTTATTTTCTGAACAGACCTAATATTGTATAATTGATTAGACACCTACTGGTAATTCATAGACATCCGTTGCTCGGAACAGAAATGAATCTAACAGTATTGCACTGGATAATAACCATATCTACTTTATGAAGTAAACTGAGAAATAGAAATCTTGTACTTGCGTTAAGTTAAAAAATTGCAAAGTTATGTTTTGGTAAGATTAATTTTGATAATTTAAAATTGTCATTTCAATTAGTCTATAAAAAAATGTACTATCAAATAAATATTTACTAGTCCTATAAAAAATATTTGAAGGTTATAACAATGTTATATAGTTAGTTATTGGAATACAAAATTATTTTAAGATAGGTAAGGAGGAATAGATAAAAACAAGAAAACTTATTATTTCCTACAAATTATGGGTATGTAATGTAACAAAATAAGTTAAACTCATTAAATCATTTTTAATTAAAAAAAATAATAAATATTAACCAATTAACTAATTAGTTACAGTAAATATTTTAAATTAAAAATTTTTATTTACATAGAGTGCATTGTTTGCAAATGTTGGTGTTATAGTTGAATAATTCTGTATTTCACAGTTTACACTGCATTATATATCAAAAAACTGAATTGTGGTTTTAGAAAACATTTCTTTCATTAAAATACTCCTTTTACTTGAATATCCTTTTGTAGAATCTTGACAACTACAACAGACACTAGTTTTGCCGTTTGTAAATCTATTACTCTTTATTGGAAAAAGAAATTTATAAAAAACGAACAGTTAGATATTGTATTTTAATTTACAAGAGAATATTTTGGTATTATTTAAAATACAAGAAACCTTTGAGAATTGTTTTCTATAATAATTAAATAATTATGGCTTTTATTTATTTGCCAGTTATTTGAAAATTATTGCTTATCTCCTTAATTATAGATATTTAGAACAATTTCCAATTTCATTATTAGATAATCACATATTTTCAGTTGTATTGAAAATCTAATTAAATAGGCTTAAGAAAATATAGTAGATAATAATAATAATTAATAATTAATGTCACGCAATAGTGGCATATACATCCCCAAAACTGAGTGGGTTCTTACTTGGCAACTGAGATATTAATATTTAGATAAATCTTGACATTTTTGGAGAACACTTAATGGAAAACATGGGATACACCCGAACCCGTCATTTGTACACTCCTATGTTACTGAAGATGTAGGGTATATGTAGTATACAGTGTGATCACGAATTACCATCGATACAGAAAATATCTTTTCATTTTTGATTTCTTTGAATAAGTCCTAATTCATAAAAAAAATTATTTACCTACATTTCGCATTGCCGTAGATAAATTTTAATTATGATATACAACGCGCTCAGAAAATAAGAAAATGCTAAACAGTTGAGGAACAAGGCTTTTTTTAATTTTACAAAGAAATGTTATATCCAATTTTAAGTTTAATTTTCATTTCAGTAATTTTAAGTTATTATTATTATTATTATTTATTTTTTGACTAACTTTTTTTTGTATTTTATCTAGTAAATATGTGCAATATTTATCGAATCTATTTTCCCCGAAATCTACACATTCATATACTTATTGTTTCAAATGTCCCCATAAATAATTGTTAAATAGGGATTCTGAGTTGGCCAAATTGAATGAAACCATGTTAACATGAAATTGTTGCGCCATTACAAGAAAGGACATAAGTTTATATTTACATGATGTAGCCCTTCCCATTCAACTCCTCTAATTTGTAATTAATCACACCATATTTAAAAGTTATATCGGGATTCCACTTCAGAGAAGATAATGAAAACAAAATTTTAGGCAGTAGATATTGCTGATATATTTCACAAAATATACAATTGTTATAGAAAATTTATATGAACAAGATTTATTCATTTATTTGTTTGTTTATTTATTTATTTATTTATTTATTTATTTATTTATTTATTTATTTATTTATTTATTTATTTATTTATTTATTTATTTATTTATTTATTTATTTATTTGTTTGTTTATTTTCAGGATCTAGAAGACTTCATCAGGGGTTCAGGCGATGCTGGTTTCATTTACTTCAGTATGGGGTCTTCTGTGAAAGCCGCCAATATGCCCAGTTATCTCAGAAGAATGCTTATGGTAGTATTCAGAAAACTACCTCAAAGGGTTCTGTGGAAATATGAGGCTGAAGATGATATGCCCGACTTACCCAGCAATGTAAAGTTAGGAAGGTGGCTACCTCAGCAAGATATATTAGGTAAGGATATCCACTTTATACCTTTTGCAGCCTAGAGTTAACAGTTAAATGTTTAATACAACATTTTTTTCAATTAAATTAACGTTTGAATTACATTCTATTCTCTGCTAAAACAACTTATAAACAAGCAACATAACATGATTAATTTTGATTTTTTAGTACAAAATTTTTTTTCATAAAATTAAAATATCGCTCTTATGTAGTAAGTACAGCGACACATCTATTGTAAGATTACTTTGTATTTTAAGCAACGCTGTGACATTTTTATGAGATATTAATTGGGTTACTTAAATATTCAAAGAAAATAATTAATATTCCGAAACAAAGCATTCCAGTTTTTTTTAGATTTTAGTAATAAAGAAAATTTAATTGCAAACAAATCTGCTTAACTTTCCGTTCTGAAATCTTAATTTCACCGACGTTTGACTGCAATTTCACGACGATAAATAAATATGATCTACGAAAAAAAAGTTAAATAAAAAATGTTGGTTTTTGAGTTACAGGCCTTCAAAGTTGTCAAAAATAAAACTAATTTAATTAATAACTTCATAACCCTTTTACCGATCGCGGTAAAATTTGGCACATTTATTTAGACTGCTATGGCGTATTATTTCTTAAAGCTTTAGTCAAATCGATATACTGGGTAATAGCTTTTTCCGGTTACTTCTCCCTTTTAGCTGTCAAAAATTTTAGTGGTCGTATTATTTTAATGCGGGCAGCAACATTGAAAAGATCGTTTTATTTGAAAAAAATTGTCTCTTAAGAAAATCGCCTACAGAAAGCCATTCTTGAGAAAAATTGCATTTTTGCAGGTCTGTATGTTTCGGTTTGCGTAGCAGTGTCACGGATTTAAAACTTTGAGTTCAGTAGGCGATGAAAACAAGATGTTGATTGCTGTTTCTATCAGGTAATGTCAGTATTGTCGTATTTCTTTAGGATTCTCTTCACTCCACACAGAGCCTGTAACTCAAAAACCAAAAAATTTTAACTTTTTTTCGTAGATGGTATTTATTTATCGTAGTGAATATGCAGTCAAACGTTGTCGGTGAAATTTGCGGACACCCTGTATAAACATTAACCTAATGACTTAATGACTTTTATTTTAATACTCTGACAGACTTTTCAATAAGCACAATTTTACAAAAAAAACAAATATAAATAAATAAAAATTCATTGAATTTAAGACAAAGTTGATTTAGTTGTAACTTTGTATATGTATATTTTTTCAATTTTTTTACATACTTCATTGATACCATACGCTTTCAATCGGTTAAATTGTCAATTTTTTCATTGCAAATGAGACAACTTAAAGCTTGAATTTTATTATATCACTGAAAAAACACTTCCAATAAAGTAATAGTGGTAAATACTACGATCACTAGCTTATCAAAAAGAGGGCAGTTTGCCGCCTTACCAGTAGCGTTTAGATTTATACATTCAAACGGTTTTTATGTACCCGACTTTAGTTACACACTAGCTGCCTAAATAGAAATTAAAAAAGTATTTACGGCTTTCGTAAGAAATTAAATAATTTTAAGTATATTTTATGTGCAAACATAAAAACCTAATAAAATTATTTAGCAACAATCATAATCTGTTGTTGAAACATAAAAAGCACTAGGAAATATAGTAAATTAATTTTCAATTAACTTTTATTTCTGATCATGAGTACCCAATTCGACGTATCTTATTAATAAGAGACAACAAACACCATCTGTTTCTAATTATTGTTTTTAAAATTTATAATACGTTGTGAAAGTAAGTTATTACTCCTGGACATTAATTGGGGATAGGTAATAATAATTATTAACAATTATTATTTTATAATATTGTTTACCTAAATATAATATAAGACTGTTTAGTAATTCGATAGTTTAGAAATTAAAAAAATTAAAAAATGATTTCTATGTATGCCACCAATATTCTTGTTAAACCGAAATCAAATTTCGAAAGCTCTACGAAAAGTTTGGTAGGTTCAATCTCTAGATGTATGTATATGAATCAAGTAAATGCATTCTAATATAAAAACAACTGATTACGTATTTGTTAATGAAACATTTATTTTCAGTTAAATAAAATTCTCACTATTCTTACATTCATTAATTCCTTGAGTTCACTAACAAAGTTCGCTAACAATGTGGTTAAATATCACCTGCAAAATATACTATCTGAATAGCGACCAACGCTACTCGTGACTTACCAGTACAAAGAATTGCTTTGTACCTACTGACAGAAAGCGACCTTCTAATAGAGCCAACAATCTTAACAGTTCTCAAGTGTAGTTTGTAGATAACTTTTCATTTAATATCAGAATTAATCTAAAATGAATATTCAGCTATTAATGGGATTATCTGTACTTTATATGTGTTAAAAATTGAAAAAAAACTTATATGAACATATGTTTGGAAACGAGTTGGCCAAATCAATTCATATACTATCTGATAATTCTGTATTATTTGAATATGGCGATAAAAAATGAGACAATGCAGGGGGCGAAATTTAATGGTACCGTCACCTTATGTACTCCTAAGCCCTTGAAATGCTTGCAGAAATAGTCTTCCAGAATTTCAGTATAAATTGTTATGTGCTCATTGAGATTAAACAAAACATTCTTATGAATTCGTTTCATACAGCATCAACATATTAAACATGAATTATCAGCTCTCCCAAATATTCCAAGTTGGATTCTAATTCTATTGCAGCCTATACACTATTGTAAATGTAGATATCCTCAACTGGTACTGCAAACGCTACAGTTTTAAGATAACTCCGAATAGAACAGAAATTGAAAACAACACATACATAGTACATATATATACAAACAAATATATCGCAAAAAAGGTGGTCTTAATATATCTAATTCTGGAGTGAAATATATGTATAGAAATACGTACGTTTCATACATAAAATGTAGAGGTGAAATTTTCAAAACTTTTGTCCATGGTAGTTGCAAATAAAATGTGTTAAAATAACACGTTTTAAATTTAGAAATATAAAAAGTTAGCATATTTAAAATATTAGGGATAAGGAAGAAAATTTTCGTGTAGACTAATAAAAGAAAATCTATTTAACAATTGAAGTTGCGAAATTCCAATCAACAATCAAGTATAGGTACCATAAAGGCGTTGCACACTTTCGACTGCATTACAATATTTATTCTAACTAGGGTTCCAAATGATTGAAGCGTAATCAAATTTGAACTTAACAAAAGAATGGTAGAAAAATGATGAAGTAAATTTAAAAGTTGAGTATCATCAAAATCCACTGAATTTCGAATAACAATGCTCAGGTTTCTGTATGGAGACAAAACAATATTGTCAACATGTTATTAAAGTATAATTTAGAGTCATTAAAAACCTCTAGATCTTTGAACTCAACTACCGTATTTAAAATAATATTATTTATTATGTAATCAAAGGGAATGGAATTTTTTTGTAATGTAGGTAATTCAATCGTTACTGTTGTTGACAAGTTCCTGTTATCAGCACAGTGCAAAAAAATAAACATCAAAATCAATAGTGATATCATTTACAAATAAAACAAATAACAGTAGCACTTGAAGCACACTAAATGGGTCCAGAGATTGATCAGACTTGGAACCGTGATATTTAACAAATTAAGCATTTCCAGAAATATGTTTGTTTATATTCATTTTCTGTTTTTTCTTTGGAATATTCTTTTAATTGTTTGGAAATCATGTATATTTAATGCATACTTTTTAAATAAACTTAGATAATACGTTTCAGGTCATCCAAAACTACGAGCCTTCGTAACACATGGAGGCCTCCTCAGCATGTTCGAAACAGTCTTCCACGGAGTTCCTATCGTTTCCTTACCAGTGTTCTGCGATCACGATTCCAACGCAGCAAAGGCAGAGAACGATGGTTACGCTCTAAAACTGGATTTGTCAAAACTGACAGCCGAGAAATTGCTATGGGCCATAAAACAAGTAATTTATGAACCTAAATACAGAGAAGAAGTGAAAAAACGTCAATTCCTGCTAATGGACCAATTGGAAACGCCATTGGAGCGTGCGATATATTGGACGGAATACGTTCTTCGACACAGGGGTGCCAAGCATCTTCAGTCGCCTTCTAGGAATCTAGGGGTTTTTCAATATTATTTAATAGATGTAGTACTAGTTTTACTGTTTGCAGTGATAGTCCTCTATATGCTTGTTAAATGTTGTTGGAAATTGTTAATGCACTATTTTGTTTCTGGTTCGCTGGCAACCAGCAGGTGTAGAAAGAATATTAAAATAGATTAAAGAAACAGCTAAACTATTAAAATATTTTGGATAGTACAATGATCGTTGAGTGTGTGTGTAAATAAAAGTGTGCAACTTAGAACCGATTTTTATTTAGGAGTGGTAAGTAATAGTAGCAATAAGTTGTTTACTTATAATATTAATTCTGAAATGGCACCTTTTTATGATTTTCCTTCGACTAATATCACTTTTACTTAATTACTCTAGCAAAAACAGACACTTCTAGTTATCTAATTTAATAAATTGTACATCATATTTTAATACAACAAGAATTATCTTTAGTACAGAAATTGATATTTGATTTCGAGACTTGAGAATATTAATATATACATACTTATATAAATATTTCATATCGTCTTTTGATATACTTGATCCACAGGTACTTAAGTACATAGTTTTTATAAATGACTACAAAAAACTTGGTAAAATTCAAAGTTATTGAAACAGTAAGACCAAGATTCCGTTAAAATAAAACGTTTCGTTTCATCCACTGGTGATGGATGCAAATTTTCATTATATTTAATTCAACCAATCGGCGATTGCATTATCTCAAACGTAAATGCAACGGTTTGTCATTATTCATTGTAAACGAATCATTAATATTGATTGATTTATGGATTTTTAGTTGAGAATGCCAATCGTGTAATGTTGGTTGCTTAAACTCACACATCACATGGCTTATAATCATTCAAGAAGACTATATATATATATTAATTATCTCTATAAATTTGTTAAATAAGGACATAGAAATATAATTAAAAAGGAATGTCCAATAGTTCCTATTTTATGGTCCGAAATAATTCAATTCGAGAAACCGAAGTGTAGAAAGCTCTTTTTCCCCTATCTCTCTTCTTAATGTAAAGATAGAATTAAAAATAATTTGTGTGGAATATATACAAAGTTAGTTTATAAACGAAATTGAAGGGTGTATTCTTTAACACATTTTGAGAAAACTAGTTCCCATCAACTGCTCATAACCTTTTTGTTTCCGAGGTAAAAAAAATTAATCTGTTTTGAGCTATACCTAGGAAACAGCGAACGTTTTAAAATTTTAATTTGGTCAGATTATAAGGGTGCACAGTACAAGAAAGAACTATATCATATATCTTTTTTGAAAATGTTTTATATGCCCCTGGTTTATTTTAGTATTTTAAAGCAATTTTTTAATTGACAATTAATTCTTGCATACAACGTAGCTCTTGTTATTTGCCTTCAAATTGTTAAATTTTAAATAAAAGACACCGTTCTGTTTGGATAACAAAATTGACCCCTTTATTTGAAGAACTAAAGGTCTTAGAGCTACAATTTTTTGCAAATCCGATTGTGGAGGTTTGAAAGTAATAGGTAATTGTTTTCTAAATATTGTTTAAACTTTATTTATTTGTGACACAGTTTGAGTTTTTTCTGTTTATTTGGGTATTTGGGAAGATTTTTAGTCAGCAAACACAAAATCATTAAATAAGTTGACAAATCCCTATGACGCAATGTTTCATTTAATTATTATTTTCAGTTAGCAAAATACAAAATAAATTGAAAAAAAAAAACTGTTTTGTATATCACCCAATTTACTAGAAACAAATGATCGAGATGTTACCTCATAACCAAAAAAAAAAGAATATGAAAACAAGTCTGAAAATCCTTAGTCCAATTCAGAGATATATTGATTTCCAATTTCAAAATTAAATATTTCGATTTTCTCATATTTGCTCAAAATCTATCAATACAAATAAAAAACAGTTTTTTTGTATAGCAACTGAAAAAACCAATCAATGTCGTTAAGAAAAACCATAAATATATCTTCTCACGTCACTAATTAATAAAATGTTCATAAAAGATGACTTTAGAAGCAATTATCTTAAAAATAAAGATGTATGTTTATAGAATTTTTTTCTAAACATAGGTATGGTTTAACACTTTCTGAACATGTTTTACATACATACATTTCTGAACATTTACTTGAGGAACACGATGTACAAGGGATACCAATTATTTTCAAAATGTTCCCTAACCCGTCGATTTATAACTGAATTACAGATTATTGTAAATTTGAAAAAATTGTATTTTAGAAAAGGTGACAAAATTAAAATTATAATATATATAAAAAATATATCATTCATCGTTTCTGAGATTGCTCTAAACTAATTTGAAAAGTATATTTGAACACACGTAGGTATATTAGACATTTAAAACTTACATATTGAGATGTAATGAAATCGCAGCACACGCAGTAGGATTAGGAATAGTACATGTTTACGAAGGCATAAAGCTTGGCAAATTTCAATAGTAATTATAAAAATTGTAAATAAAATTGTGAGAGTAGAGGAATAGATTCCATAAGTGACCGCTGTCTAGGTAGTGTCATTGTGAGTTGCCTACATGAGAGGTGTTCAACTGAAAGGGAGAAAGACTTTGATAATAATTTAAAATCAACACATGAAATCAAAACATTAAAGAAAAATAGAATTAAAGAGAATACTAAGCAATTTAACATGGCAGTAATTAGTTATAACTTAAAAAATTAAATTGATATTTTATTATTTCTTTAATTTAATGTCAATAGCATAAGAAGTAAAATAGAGTGCAGTGAAAATTTAAAACATACTTACGCGAGTGCGGTCACTAGGAAACAGACTCGGAGGCAAAAATTAGTTGATTTTGAACCTGGCGAGAGTTAAAATTTTGCGTCCGATAAACTTTTTGGTTAAAAGTGATAAAACCTTGGTATGAAGGTTGTAAACATATAAATTGCACACTCGGCGACATCATGTAGTGAAGCAATACAGCACAGGAAGCACCAGTCCAGGGAAATAAGGTAAATTCTCATACATTTATTACATTTCCACTGTCTGCAAAGGGTAGTGTCTTCGTTTGGAGGGCCCAAACGAAATTTTGGTGCCGATTCAAGTCCTGTTTTCAAAGAGCTGGTGGATTTGACGTTACAATAAACAAGGACAAGCAGAAATTTGAAACATTGAGCACGGAATAGAGTAAGGATGCAGCATTCAAACCGGAGCAACTCCACCACCTAGAATACGAGAGGAGCACCCCTATATTTTCAGGATCGATTCAGTGCACAGGTCCGTTATCAGAGTATTTTGCGACGCTACAAGGTAAAAGAAATTACATAATTAGGTGTTTTCTTTTAAATTGTTCCATTTATTTATGTAAACTTCTTGTTGTTTATTTATAATTAGTTAAGATATTGGCACAGCCTACGTAGGCAGTTTTGTGTTAAAAAGAAAAATATTTATTAAACTAAATTGTTCAAAGGTTTATTTGCGATTTAATTCTTGTTTCTTTTAATTTGGCATCACCAAAATTAGATATCAAAATAAAATAAAGTCAAATAAATTCATTTAAATTATAAATCAGATCCAGGTCCAGTACTTCTTTGCTGAACCGCCCCTGTAGACTCTCACAAATTTGTTAAAAATTTTCTTAACTCCCAGGAAATGGTATTTTAAAAGTAAGTGTCTCAACTGATGGGAGTTCGAAACCTCGAAATTGTCTCTAAGACTGGAGCCTACATATAAGCATTGTGACGAAAGTGATTGTCTCTGTTTGATTATTCTGAGCTATCCGAGGGTTACATACAATATACAACAATACAAATCAAACACATACACCAATATAAAAAAATACATAACAATATATCACACTTTTTTCTCAAAATGTGTCAGGGAATCCTTATTTATTTATACGTGTACCTTGTATAATGTGTGTTATTTTATTCAAAGAAATTACACATTTATTATAAACATACATATAGGTAAATGTAAATATAAGCGAACATTAAAAAATAGGTAGTTGACAATTTGTAAGACACCTGTAAATTCAAATGAGTAAAAATTCAAGTTAATTAATAAAATTCATCACAGTTTTGATCCATGATATTAAAAGATACTGATTTCAAATATTTTCAAATTAATATCTGTCAAATTCATGTCCGTTTAGAATTGATCTAACTTTTCTCTTATCGACATTACTTTCCTTAATACTTGCTCTATTTGAGTTACTTTCAGTAAGGCTATTAGAAACGGTTTGAGGATGATGCACTGGTGTTATTTTGACTTCTTTCTTGTTGTTAAAATAGTGGAAGTTTGCATAACCGATTATTGCAATTCCCACAGCTATTCCAAACCATCTAGCTACCTTAACTGCTTTTACTACTACGAATATACTTTTCACTTTCTTTAAAAGGGGTCCTTCGAGATCTACACTCTACAAAAATCATAACATAAGTATTTGATGTTGTAGTACATACCAAACATATCATTTCTACATTCTGCTGTATAAAAATGTTATCTGACAATATTTTCAAAATTGTATCATTTCAAGTAAGTATAGTAAATTTTTTGTTCATAACATGTGTGTATCAAATTTCTTTATTTTTCTTTATTCATTGACGTCCTAACTATAACTTAATTTAAAAAATATCACTCACCTCCTGTACCCAAAGTAATGGATGAAGAGCTACCGGTAGATTTTTCATTAATGTTATTTTGTTGTTGGGCGCTATTGGTAAATTGAACTGTATACGTTTATATGCTGCAATAGGAGCTGCAGTCATCTTAAAAATAAATAATTTATTTTAGACTAATGTTTAAAGTATTATATTCATAGTTCTTTGTTATATTAAGGCCCGGTACTTTGAATCTCGGTTAAAGGTTGATTAACTGATCAGGCGATTAGACTGTACATATACAGATTTATTTTATAAATTATAGTCACAGTCTATTCGCCTGATAATCAAACCTTAACCGAGACTCAAAGTACCGGGGCTAAAGGTATAATATTATTATATATTATGTATAAGGTACTCCATAGAGTTGTGTTCAAATTTAGGCAGCAAAGGTAAACTTAATTCTAAAAGACGCAAAAGTAGTACATTAATATTTATTTTGTTCTGTTACGGGCCTTATATGGAATTATGAAATGTATACAGTGTGTCCAAGATAAGGATCGGATAGCATTAGGATCTAGAAAACGGTAAGAGATACGGAGTGGTTCAAATTAGAAAAAAGTTGTATTTTTTATACCTAACAATATGCAGTTTAGAAAGTTTTAAAATTCCGGGTAATTTCGAAGATATCCGGATAAACTCGAAATTTTGCAAAATTGTTTTATTTTATTCTGGCTTATTTGAAAACGAATTTTAAAATAAATTGCATATTTACATTGACACGTTTTTCGCTCTGTCCAATGGCATCAACATTTTTACAATCCGACGTTTCGTCTTCGAGGAGCCATCATTAGGTTAATTTTTTTAAATACGTCGCTGCTATTTTTATGACTAAATCTAAAATCATTTTTAATTCTGAATTAGACGATTAGTTTAAAAAATAAAATTCGGTTATTTTCTGAAATAAAAACTTATCTTAGTCGAAAAGCTTATATGAGAATAGCCATGATGGTCACTTACATCATCCGACCACAATTCTCTAGGTTTTTATTTATGAGATGAAATAAAATAGAATTGTCATTACAGTTCAAGCTTGTACTCGGAATTAGGACGCTCTGAATATATCATTAATTAAACATTTATGAAATAAGATATTGTTAATTGGTTTAGGAATTTAACAACTTGTAACTTTGGAACGAATAAAGATCGACCAACCACTTAGGTTGTTTAGTTCACAGAATTAAGTGTACGAAGAAAACTGTTGAATTTCCACCGTCATTTATTTAAACTAATACCTACTAACAATAATTGATTTATATCCTTATCATGCAAGCAACGGTAGATATAAATTTAATATGAAAACGAGTTTTTGATTAAAATACGATTGTCTATGAAATTTACTAATATTTATATCATTAACTTGATACAGTTAATAGTAAAAATGATAATGTTGATGATGATGATGAACCGAGTGAAGATTTAGTTTCGTGCATAATTAAGCAGATAATTGTGTGTTTAGTGCAGCAAATGGAAGAAGCAGTACCATGACATTAAAATTAAATATCGTTATTAAATACTATAATTTTATGGTAAGTTATAGTGTTTCCTAGTATAATCTCTTGGTGTTAAAATACGTAACCAATTATAAGAGAATAGTTTTTCTCAAGAGTGATTAATGTGTAGTGTTATTTTATTATTGAATGAAACGTAAGTATTTGAAGAAGGATAAGTATTGAATCTGTTCTTCTATATACCGATATACTGTTAATAATTTCCCTGAGTCACTCACTATATATGTATTAATTCAAGTTAGTTCTTATGTTCAACTTTTTTGCAATGAAGCAATTGTATAATTTCAGATTTTATTTCAGTTTTATATATTGAAAATTCTTGACTGTAGTGTATTAATAACACAAGCGAACAAAAAAAAGTCCAAATCCAAGAGTCCCACATATCATTTCGGAAGGAATTCGATGCACTGAACACGATCCTGTAGTCAGAATTCATGACTTCACGACAAATTTTAGAGAAAAGTGAAAACTGGTCCAAATATGGGTCAAAACTGATTTTTTCATTAGTTTTATCCAAATATATCATTTTCGTAGTGTTTTGAGACGCTGAATACGATACCACTAGTGAAATTTACCTTAATCAGTGTCTACAATAATTTTGCTTTATCATTAAATTTGTTTTTAAAGTAGTTGTAATAAAAGTCATGCATTATTTTCAAAATACCTAATATACTAAATGTAATCGTTTAATTGTTTTATTTCAGTTGTAACCATATCTTTATCAAAAATTGTGTAACTGAAAATTTGACTTTGAAATATAATAGTGTGCATAATATCTACCTGAGCTTCTAGCGACTAACTTTACGTCTTTATGTTTTCTAATATTTTCCATGGTTTTTCCAGAATCGGCATTATTCATGTTTATAAAAATTTTTGCTTAATTTTCTACACTGTATATAAGTCAATATATATTTTCAACCAACAACTTAGCTTAAATTTTAAAATTCCATAAATTTTTTCAACTTTTAATCCTAAAGCAGTAGTCAATAATTTTGGAATTTTTAATTTTGATGTTGCACGTAAAAGTGGTAAGTCCTTATCTTTTTTATGACGTACATTAGTAATTACTTTTTTAATTTTCAGGTACGTAAAAAAAGCACTAATTTTGGATTTTCTGAGAAATATGGAGGTCAGAGGTAAATCTCACTAATAGCATCGTATTTAGCGCCTCAAAATACGACAAAAATGGTATATTTGGACAAAATTTCGGAAAAAATCTATTTTCACCCATATTTAGGCTAGTTTTCAGCCAAGTAGTGGTTTTTCTGAGAAATATCGAGGTCACGGTTAAATGTTATTAATGGCATTGTATTCAGTGCCTCAAAATACTACGGAATTGATATATTTGGACAAAATTTTTCACCCAAAAAGTTCACTTTTCTCCAAAATTTGTCATGAAGATATGAATTTTGACTACAGGATCGTATTCCTTTTGAAATGATTTGTGGGTCTCTTGGGTTTAGCCTTTTTTTGTGTACCTGTGTAATCTATGGTAGAGTATTATTTGAATAATCTATCTGCTAAGTCGACCTATCATCTATAATAATCTAATTTTAGGTTAATACAACTTTACCATTGAGATGATAATGTCAGGCAAAATTATATTCTACAATAGAGTGACGCATTGATCGATCTAAACTGTGGGCGTTAATTCGAATTACACTGTAGCACTTCTGTAAAGTGGATTCCAATGGTAAGCCTACAAATTTGAACATAACAATAGCTGTCAAAAGAACAACTTGCGTAAGAAAATATAAGTGGCTTAAATCCCTAAAAAAAAAAAAATAAATATTATCGTACAATTATACCTAAACTTCTTCTATTTTTGAAGAGTCGTTTCAATTTAAAGTAGTTTTAAGAAAGAAAAACATATAGCTAAGTCTATAAGTTCAATCTATATTCCGTTGTCTATAATCTTTATGTTTGAAGAAGTTTCTTAATGCCACACACGATGGAAAGAAAAAAGATATGACGAATAATGGCCAGATATATTGTAGCGGATTAATTAATCGTTTCACGAACAAACTCGCAAAAAAACTGTCCGTACCTCTTAGTTGAGGACCAAGTTAATTAAAAAACGGTTCTAATTGGGTCTTTATCAACTACCTAGTTAGAGTATTTGATCTACTCTACAATATATTAGCGATGCACTTTTATCCATTTTTAACGTTCTTTTCTTTTATGTAAAATGATCTGACAAGCAACTTCATCCTAATTATTGCAGTAGTACTTAATTTCAACATAATTCAATTTATTTCATGTAAGCATAAACACAAATCACAGTCTAAGTCCATCAGGCTTAACTTGTCTAAAAGAGTGAACATATTGCACTGCATTAAGGTCTCGTGTGAAACAGGACAAGATGGATTAAGATCATAGATTCGACAACATAGAGAAAGCGCTAGAAGAAGAGATTACCATTGTAAGGAAAGAAGTAGAAGATATGAAGAAATAATTTGGAAATAATAAAACAAGGCGTGATTCCATGACAGAAACTGTCAAAATTAAACAGTCTCCAAAGTTCGGTTAAATTTCAACCCCCAGTTTATAACTAGACTAACAGTGAGAAAGCTACAGTCCTAATAGTGTCATAGAGGTAAGGCCTTAGAAGTTTTACACTAGTAGAAGGAAGAGGATTATGATGACCCTAGAAATGTTATTTGGTGACAAACACATACAGCAAGACTACCAAATGCAGCTGAAAAGACTGAGCAAATGAGGGTTTATAGTAGTATGAGGCGGACATAACTCCTTCACTTGGCAGATCCAACAACCCCGCGCGGCTTTATGAAGCAGACAGCTATTCAGATAGCTGTTATTTATTGATGGATGTTACCGAGGTCACAAGGTCACAGACAGTAGCATTGTGTATTTTGAGCATGAGTGACTGTAGATTTAGCATATTTCTGCTACTTCAATGTGTGTTACCGCTTACTAGCAGAGTAATAAAGAATAGTGATCTTACAGGTTCGAAAAATACTTCTAGTTTATGCTTATCAGGAAGAGGATGCATTCCTTTAACTTGCTTAAAGTAAATTTCATCTGTTTTGAGGAAATGAGGAAGGGTCACGTAAATCGGCACTCCCAGACATTTGGATAAGTCGAATACTCCTTTCTTCAGGCAAGTTTTAGGGGTATCGCAGTAACATTTTTCATCTTCATTATGGTCCATGTCTCCTAAGTCCATGTCGTAGTGGAGTACATTGATTCCTTTTAATACTGTGGTTCCCGCTGGAGGAACACTCACACTCCTAAAAATGTAGATAAGTGTAAGGTGAATGAATACCAAAGCCTTCTATAAGTGATTTGATTATTGATTGACTAGTTAATGACGGGAAAATTTTAAAATTTTTTCCTTTTCAGAAAAATAAGTACAGACCAATACAAATAAATTTGCGTTTCTGACCCAGGCAGAGCTGCGCGTTAGGGAGAAGGAATAAGACATAGGTGTAGCGATTTGAGATAGCGCTTTATTAGTAGTGATTACGAGTATATTTTCAAAACCTTGTAGTTATTAAAAATTATGAATACGTATTAACCTAAAAAGGATTTTAAATAATATTAAAGCACTTAATAGGATAAGATATATGTTAGTTTACCTGCACATATCCGATACATAAGTTGATATCTCTTCTTCCGGTTCTAGAAGAGGTGGAAAAATCCAGCCATCCGTCCCTCTCAAAGTATTGCATTCTGGCGTTCCCCATAAATGTATTTCTCGTTTGCCATCTACTTCTAAAATTTTTCCTAAGTCTTTAGATTTTGAAATCCCCCTTAATACTTTTACCCTCTTTCCCTTTGTAGCATTTCTCTGAAATTAATGAAAGAAATAAACATAAACACATATAAAACGACTGAACGGCAGATTGTAACAAGTTTTTATGTTTTCCAAAAAAAACTTACAGGTCCAAGAAGAGAAAATAAGTAAACCTCATTTCCAGTTGTCTTTATTCCAGGAATCTTCGATTTTATTTGTGTGCATACAGCTTTAGCTGGAAACTCCGTTACTTTACAATTAATTGCCATTCCATCAAATAATATGTCCTTTACTTTTGCTGTTAAATATATAGACTCAAGATCGGGAAATATCAAACCAATTGCTTTATTGACGATGGGCAGCAAGGCTGGCATATCTCTATTGACAAGGTTAACCATGCCCTGGAAATGAGTGCAAGTTAACGCATTACTTATACCATTAACTGAACTTTTAATACTTACAATAATTAAAGGATGAATTACAGTGACGTAATCATCATCTCTTAGTATACCAGATTTTTCTTGATTAAACTTATACACTGAATAAGGACTGTAGGTTAAACTATCATCTCCATCATTATCCACAACATCAACTTTCTCCACGTATTCACTGAAACAGCAATAATAAACCTAATTCAGTCAATCTTTTGACAGGCTTAAAGTTGGATGACTAAAAATTTAATTTCCTGTTGGTCAAAGTATTGATGGTATTGTCATCGCATGGTATATTCGACAAGGATGTCTGAAAAATATGAATCGTATTGGTTTACTGAGAGAACGTCAACATTTTTCAACTGTATTACTTGTTTCATGTTTTCTATAGAAACAAATGAGTTTAATTATTAATGTTTATTATTTTCCTGAGTCAATGTTCTACATGTAAGCTCTCTGTAATTGGTTTCGCTGCTTGGTGGAATTCGAGTTCAATTTTGTCTCAGGCGGCATGGAAACGCCCAATGGCAGACTTGAAAATTCGAGTATAGGAAACTTTATTTGGTTCTTTCACTACGACTTTGAGACTTCTTGGGTAAGCTTTGGTGGAAAGCGTTTTTCGCCGTCGCCGTCGTCGCGAATCTATTTTGTAAATTCGAAAGTGTAGTAACGATCAGCCGATTCGAAAGGTAGGTACTAACATACAGGCTGCCCGATAAACATGCGCACGAAAGGTAAAGGACTATATGGAAAGTATAACATATCAATATGAAGACGCAAAGTGTTTTCAATTGAAATCTCATGGATGTTGTCTCCTGCGTGGCACCCATAATAATGTGAAATTGTATTAAAAATATGCGCTTTAGTTGTAACACCTGACTATTTTCAGTAAAAAAAAGAACGAGGAAAAATTGCAACAGAAAAGCGATAAGCATAAACATTTTTTAATGTATTTTTCTTCTCTGCAATTATTTAGCAGTTTATTTATTTTCTTCATTTATTTGGTTACAATACGTAGTCTTAGGTGAGAATCTAATGAGATCTAATTCAATTTCCAATAATGTGTCATTATATGGTGTTTGAAATTACATTGATATCCATGCACTTTGGGCCGCTAACACGTTCACCTTTTGTTCTCACATCTAGAATTTATTAAATAATATAAAATAATTTACATATTTTGTTGACCAAGTTCATTTCTTATTGCTAACGAAGAATTATACAGGGTGTCCGGTAAGTACCTCCTAATCTCTCGGGAGTATATAGGGGAGGTCAAAATAAAACTAGTTCTTCCTATAATTTTTTTTCCTAATGTGCCCCCTAACGGAGTTATGGGGGGTCAAAGGGGTACCTAGAAATTAACGTTTAGGGTTATAACTTTGAAACCACCCTGTATATTTTAATAAAATTTTCGTACGTTGTATTACACATGGAGCTCTACGATTTGATGCTAAAATCAACTTTTTGCTATTATCAGGTGTCCAGAAACGGACTGGCCCTATCACAATTTTTCTCAAAATTTTGACAGAAGTAATTTTATCAAACTGAAAATATTATTATTAGATACTCTGAAGGTTTTTCTTTAAAAATGGTACTCTTTATTTATTTCGAAAAAATGAACGGTTTGCGAGATAAATCGGTTTTGAAAAAAATTGGTAACAAAAACAACAATTAAAATTTATTTTTTTTACATATTATTTCATGCATTTAATTTCTTTAACTTTATCAAGTCCAGAAATCTTTGAACGGGTTGGCTATACTTTATGAGCAAGTAGTGACCAATTAAAAATAACATTTGAAAAATAACTTACTTACAAGACATGCAACAAAGAACATTCAACAATGAACAAAGGTACCTAAATGTTACTTCGGTAGATGTTCAAAATGAGCACCCCGTACTTCAATGCACTTTCTAATCCTACGAATGTTTTCCCGGTGCACTTGAAATAATATTCCGTGATTATTGCGGAGATGGTCACAGTTCTGTGTTAGCCTCAGCAGAAGTTCCTCTCTACTATTTACGGGTGTTGAATAAACGTTATTTTTTAAATGACCCCACAGAAAAAAGTCTAATGGGTTTAGGTCGGGCGACCTAGGTGGCCATAATACAGGTCCGCCTCGACCTATCCATCGATCACCAAAAACATTCGTCAGATGTTGACGTACTAAACGATCAAAGTGGGGTGGTGCACCGTCATGCATGTACCACATTTCAGTTCTTATTTGAAGGGGCACTTCTTCTAACAAAATATTTAGATTTTCCTCTAAAAATTGCAAATAAAGAGCACCATTAAGTCTTTGCTCCAGAATAAATGGACCAATCAAATGATTCCCGATAATGCCAGCCCACACATTCACCATAAACCTTTGTTGGTAGCGAGTTTGAACTAAAGCGTGAGGGTTTTCTTCATCCCAGACATGTAGATTATGCGAATTAATTATGCCGTCTCTTGTAAAACCTGCTTCATCGGTGAACAAAATAGATGTACCAAAATTATGATTCCGAATATGATGCTGTAAAAACCAATTGGCGTATTGAAGTCTTTTTGGATAATCATCTGGAGACATAGCATGTACTTTTTGGATGTGGTACGGGTAAAGCAATTGTTCTTTCAGAGTTTCATGTACAGCCCATTTTGTAACATTGTTTTGCGCCGCAAGCTTCCTTATGCTATTTGAAGGATTATTAGCAACGTCTTCCAATATTTGTTCCTCTACATGAGGGTCTCGTACTCTCCTCGGGGCTCCTGCTCCACCACGGCGTGGCAAAAAGCTTCCTAAATAAAGGATTCGGAAGAAATTAGTTTCACTAACGTTTTTCACTATTTTTTTTTACCTGTTTCTCTTAAACTACGATCAACTCTTTCAAAAGTTTTTGGACTCGGCAAATGTCGACCCGGAAACCTTTCCTCATAAAGTCTTCTTGCCTCCACGGAGTTGCATAATGCTTCCCCATAAATTAGGTGCATATCAGCATATTCTGCACAGGAATATTCTTCCATTTTTAAATGTTATTTCTAACGGCTTAAAACGAATACCACAATAAAATTGAATTTTTATTCTGTCACGCGCCTTTGACAAGTACTTTAAAATCAACAGGGTCTAACAACGAAAACAATAGAAAAGAACTCCATGGAGACAAGAGCAATAATAATTTGTAGATGTATTTTGGTCATAGATGTTGATTTTACAAGAAACGGCATTATTCATTCCCTTAATTCACCACCAGTAAATGTTTATGGTGAATCTGTAGGCTGGCACTAGCGGGAATGATTTTATTGTAAAAAAATAAATTTTAATTGTTGTTGTATTTGTTACCAATTTTTTTCAAAACCGATTTATCTCGCAAACCGTTCATTTTTTCGAAATAAATAAAGAGTACCATTTTTAAAGAAAAACCTTCAGAGTATCTAATAATAATATTTTCAGTTTGATAAAATTACTTCTGTCAAAATTTTGAGAAAAATTGTGATAGGGCCAGTCCGTTTCTGGACACCTGATAATAGCAAAAAGTTGATTTTAGCATCAAATCGTAGAGCTCCATGTGTAATACAACGTACGAAAATTTTATTAAAATATACAGGGTGGTTTCAAAGTTATAACCCTAAACGTTAATTTCTAGGTACCCCTTTGACCCCCCATAACTCCGTTAGGGGGCACATTAGGAAAAAAAATTATAGGAAGGACTAGTTTTATTTTGACCTCCCCTATACACTCCCGAGATTAGGAGGTACTTACCGGACACCCTGTATATTATTTGAATAAGCTTAATATTAAAATCGTTATTTGAGTTAGTCGTAATATAAATATCAATAAACCTGATATTTGAAAGTAATATATTATAGATAATAATGTGTTTTATAGATTACTGGAGTCCTAGTCATTATAATCTCTCTATTCCAACATCTTTATACAGGACGTTCTGAAAATCAGTCAGCAAATTCCGGGAAGAAAAAATTTAACTTTGACAAGCTATAACTTGACGATTCGAAAAAAATGTTTATTACATACTGCTATTATTTTAATCCGTAGAATCACCTCCCGGAGTTTCTTGACGGACTTTCAAAACATCCTGTATATTTTTCTAGTTCCATAGATTTTCCCACAATATTCAAATGAATTTTTAAAATAGAATAAGTATGTACTTGTTATTTGCTGGTTTGATATATTGACTTTTAGATTTTCTCGGAAACTGAAGTGAGTCTATTATCACCAGCTTAGTTAATCAGTACATTCTCGCCAAAATACATTAAAAAATAAGGACACTTGTTCTTAAAATGATTTCTAAGGGCTCTATGATCCTTCAAAGATTGACAGTGAATTGGATCAGTAGCTAAAGAACACATCAAATTAAACAGTACAATTCCTTCAGGCAAAAATTGAACAAAATCTAAATAATGGCATTGAAATTAAGAGGGGTCTGTGGGGTTCTAATAGTCTAAAAAATGTTGTTAGTAGTAAATACATGTAGATGAAGATAATCTTCATCACATATTTGGATGGAATATTTTCAATCAAAACTTTTATGTCTCTTAATTTTTTTCCATGTAATGTACTATTAATATTTAAAATCCAACACGTTACACAGTTGGGTGCATTGTTAGCATGGGATAATAGCAGGTCAAAATAATAATAACTTATTTATTGGAATAAAATAAATAAATTTAGTATTTCCATAACAATGTTCCTTTGGGTTTATAAATTAGAGTAAAATATTTGATTTTTGTATATGATCTGCCATCGACGATCATAATATTGTCATGCTTTTTGGACTTTTACTTGTGAAGCATGTATAAACGTTTTGTTTGAAAATGATTCATAAAAATCTGAAATTCTCTCTAATTCAGACGCAGCTGGTTACGTTCTTGAGTAACTGAAGTTTTAGAAGGGTCAGAGAGCTCTAAAGAATCGCGTTAGACAAAATTCCTATCCTTATTTCGTTTTCCTTTCTTGTTTGTTTTTACGAGAAAATTCAGCTCAAAAATTTGCGATATTGCTGTTACACCCTATATCTTTTATTCCTTCAGTTACTTTTAGAACCGAAGACAACTTCATATTGTATTCTATGATTATCTGAATACTTACGAAAATACTTACTCATAGCAGTATGGACCAATTTCTTCCAAGATGGGAATGGAACCAGTTTGTACCTCCATAGGATTTGATACATTAAAAAAATATACGTGGAAGTCTAATGGAAATGGTAATTTCAAGTATAAACTTCTGATTGCATTTCTTTTTCTGAGAGCAGTTTGCTGCAGGAACAAATTCACTTTTTACAGTTCAGTAGATAGATAAGTAAACCTTCGTCTTACAAATAAAGATTAATTACTTTCAGATAATACAATATATATCTAAATGTCAGTTTGGAGAGTCTTTTGAATACAAATATTCATAAACAAATTATATACCTACAACAAGAGAAATTTTTTGCTACTATTAGTAAAAATGCACTAATCGTATCAAAATATCTGCACTAAATAGGCGCCAAATGAGTTGCTTTCTTACCACAACGAAATATACTTTGGTAAAAAGAACTCTCACACAAATTAAAGAAGTATGTATAACAACATTATGAAAAGAAAATGAGCTGAAATGGTTTCTCTCATGGGGCGGCTAGCTTCCTGGCCAGATTCCTATCGTGAAACGAAGATAACCGTTAAAAGTATGAAAAATAAGAAAGAAGGTGCTTACTGCATACAGTCTCAAATTTATTTATGGTGCGTCGGTTGCTGGACTGTAGCACGAAGTTCCATAATGAATACTGCTGATACTGACTGAAATATTCAAGACGCCGGGGATTCTGCAGCTTCAATTCTGTGTTGACCAAGATATGGGAATTAGAAACAGAAAATTAGTTGCAACACCAAAAAAAACATGTGCACTAAAACCTTTCTATGTGTCGACTGAGACAAAACTAGGACCTTAGGGCAGAATATTGGTTTTAGCTGCAGGAAATTGGGTCGACATATACACACGTGAACTGAGATAAATTTCGATTTCATCCAGAAATTATTAAATAAGGACTCGGTTACTCTAAGTGAGTTCTAATTTCCTACAAATTATAACTCACGACACATTTACTTACCCGAGCAGAGCAATTCACTTGAGGCAGATCGACAATTGAATAAAATTCTAGTGGGCTATTAAATAGCGACAAAACATTTTTTTGTTGTGGTGGCAAACACATTTACTTATGGCAACATGATTCTTTTGCTATCCTCGCAAATAATTTACTAATAGTAGCTAATATATCCTATCAAAACAACCCACTTGGATGATTTCTTTCAGTGTATAATTTCGTTTTCTCATTTTTAAATGTAAAACTTTAAAAAATCGTTTATCCATGGTAATTTCACTTTAAATTCTGAAATCATGGGAATGTATTCCATAGTGACAAATAAGTGTTCTTACTCTGCTCTATAAACTTTTGTCAAGTTCTTCGAGACTTAGAATATTCAAGTTCTAAATCGTTTGTTGCATCTCCGAAATATATAAATAAATTAAAAAAAAAATTGGTAAATTTTAGAAATGAAGAGATTTTTTAATTGATAAAGTAGTTGCATCACTTGTCAGTGGCATGCAACCGAGGTGCATGTAAAAGTAGTAAAAAATATTAATAATAAATTTAGATGAGCATTCATTTTGTTTTGTGGAAATTGAGATTTTGGTCGACAAATTCATTGGTGGTTGGAATAAATTATGGACAGTATTGGACCGGTAGGTTTTAACCAATAAGAGAATCTCCGTATAGGTCGATTAAACTTTAACCCATTGAATTATTTTCTCTGAAGAGCCCAAAATTTATGGTATCAGAATGAACTCGAAATGAATTGAGGCAAAAACATAAGAAAATTTACTACTGGCTATTAAATTGACTATTTTTTCTATTAGAAAAATAAAACACTATTGTTTTGTGTTCTCCAATAGCCTTTTCAGTTTCTTAATGAAAAGCTTCACATCGAAAATTAGCAGTAAAATATATTTAATGTTTTAATATGAGATAATTCAGTAGAATAAAAAACAAAATAGCTCGTAAGCAATACATCTTACCAAAAAAATAAGGTGATGAGGAAAAATGCGTTTTTGCTATATTTTGAATAGCATCACCTAAATTTTTTATTTATAGGAAACAACAGTGATTTATATTTTGTAAATAGAAAGGTATTTGATACATGCAATCCAAATAAATACCAAATAAATATTCATAATCATTCATATTCATATTTCATATCACTTTTTCAAACGTTCATGTCTTGTATCGCAAAAATTTAAACTCCTGACATAAATGTTTGTAGAATAATTGTAGGAATTCATCACTGTAATTTCAGAACTACAGAAATCACTCTGTATTTACTTTAAAAATTGAAAGAAGAGATTCAATAATACACATTACTTAAATCATTTCTACTTACATCTCTTATGCCGAATTTTAAAATTTGTTCAAAAGCAAGAAATCCAAACACCACAGAAAACACTATGAGGGACCCACCAGCCATCGAAAGCTTATGTAATAATATCATTTTATGGTAAAATAAATTTCAAAGTGACTACATTAATCACCAAATATTTTTATTTTAAATAAATATTCACTTTTACCATCAAAATGTTTTACGGAATGACAAAAATGATAAAAATCGCATTATCGAATCGCTCAAGTAACTGGAATTAAAGTTTGGTGGGGAGTAAAAACAAATATCTAATATAGCTGAAGCATAATGACCAAATTATCATTAATAATAAATATGGTCATTAGGCGGCAATGGCAATGACGAAGGTTTTATAAAGGATAAATTATGAAATTAGTTATAACTGCATTATTAAAAACAAATTAAATCAGTTAAGTAATTAAAAATAAACTGCATTTTTCCTAAAAATATATTTGATGATTCTTCAAAATAATCATATGAAATTAAGGGTGATATTTTCGTCTATGTTGTTTCAAAAGCTGCCACAGTATCAAAATTTTATCATGGTGGAAGAAATAAGTGTCTCACTATTAGTACTTGCTTCTGGCAGTGTCGTATTATGTTTTTGTTAGTGTATTTGTTTTTGTTATGTAGTATAATATATAATTTTTGTAATGTTTAATGATTCAGTATTTGTTTGGGCGCCTTTTGTTGTGTAGAATGTAATTTGTGTGTGTTGAGATTAATCTTTATTGGATGCAGGTTCTCAGTATAAAGTTAAGCAATAACAATGACAAATTTCATCGAATTATACTTTTCTTACCTTGGTTTTGCTTATCTCCCCTCCGGCAGCTTTATCTTGCATAAATAATATTTACAGTGTACACTTTATTACAGTGTAGATAGGAATGTTTAGTAATCAATGATACACTGTCCCTCAAAAACACTTATTATGAATACTAGCATGAGTTCTGGTCTCAGAGAAGCGGTTCAATATTATTCAAATTTACTATCACTATAGATTTGAGTAGGAAGCAATGAATGAAGGAAAATTTTTAACGATTTTAACAATGTGACATTTATTAATTATTCATTTTTAAAGTCCAAACAATATTTTTTTAAAAAACACAGAAATTAGATATGTCATTAACTTTTACATGAATAAATAACTGATAATTTTTTTAGCTCTACCTAATTTAATTTTGAAAATATTTGGTTAACCAATTAGTATTGTTTTAAATGTATTACGAAACAAATTAACTTAAATTAAGAACACATAAACTTAACTAATCTAACTACTATGAAATTTTCTAAAATATGATTTTAATTTCTATTCGCTAATATTGTCTATGTTTTGAAATAAGTTTTTGATTTCGCAAAATGTTTTTAATTCGAATTTGTAAACACTCTAATTTATGTTTTGGGAGAATATGCTTAGGCAACTGGACTTACATTTTCCATTCTCTCGGCATTGGAATGTCCAATATTCACTCTAACCTCGCTTTTTAGTCGTGGGTGATACAGCTGTTCTCGTCTCTTGTGGATCGTTTTTTTTGTGAGTTGGTTGCGCCCTGGTTTTCTACGATGTTATTTGGGGAGGTACAGGATAACATGCACCCCTAACCTGTATCTGGGACCAACTAGTTTCTCTTCCAACTTGTTTACTTCGAAACGATGCTGTGTTGTTTTCCGTTAGAGGGTAAATTTTCTGATTTGTCCTTTTTTTATTGGTCACTTGTATCCATGAGATATTGTTTTCTTACTGCGCACTTTATCTCCAACATATTGCGATGTGATTTTATTTTTAATAAATTACGGCGTAATTTGTATTTTGTAACTGCGTAGTACTTTTTACGTCTTAAAACTAGTTTACAAGAAAATTCTGAATGACAATTCTTATAATAAACTTCTAGCCTATGTTTTTCTGATACTATAATATTTGAATTTTCTTTTGTACTAATTTATTTAACGTTTATTTAATTGTAAAATTGTTAAATTGGCCTTTCTTGTGGCATTTTTCTTGTGCTTTCATGCTTCCACTTCGATCCTAAACTTTATCTTTTTGACATGCTTCTCTATTAAATTAGTTAAATTTTGAATGATAATATTTTAATTTTGATATGATATAACTATGAAATGGGATTTTATTTTACTTTAAAAGTAATTTATGTCTTCTCTATAGTCTACGTTATAATTTTATGAATTTGTGTTATACATTTTAAATTTTTCTCTCTACCATTACTCTGTGTAATGTCTTGAAATACAGTGTGTTCATTTCAATACAAATCAAAATGCAATTTTTTCTACTTCCTGAACCAAAAATGTGAAAATTTATCATATTTTGCATAAAAAAGATACTCTTGTTAGATTTTAATAGCATGAGCCGTTTTCTAGCAAAATCCATTTCAATAATTCATTACTTGCTCAAAAATTCGTACTGCAAAATAAATGTATCAAATTGTGCCATGAGTCCATCAATGTTTTAGTTTGATTTTTTTGAGAAATTGATGGAGGATGCCTAAAATGACACTGTCTCTATGACAGATATTTGATATATTACTTATGCCACTGAATTTTTTAAGACTGTTTTAAACTATTCTGCTGTAATTTAAACTTCGAAAAGATTACAATTGTGGAGAAAGTTGTATATCCCATAATTCACAATAATTTTATTTTCAAGTATTTTTCAGTAAAGAGGAAATAAGAATATTGGAAAATGATATTACATAGACAAATATGAGAATATAAATAATGCACTTTATTTTGTTGCGGTGATAAATGATAACCTCAATGTTAAAAGTCTACCCATTTGACTCCTCTTCCTGTTTTCCATTCCATCAGATTTTAACACTCAACAGTAAAAACCAGTCCTAACGTCACTAGCCCATCACGGTGCATTGAGAAACTCCCAGAATTAGTAATCTCTTCTCATGACCAACAAGATCTTCACATTTTCCGCGCTAATAGAGACATTTAGTGATATGCAGTTGGCACCATTGCGTTGTGCATAACCTCCCCTGTAACCACATGTTCTTGGATTGTTGATATCTTATTTAGTTTCCGTGATATTGTTATTTGAGTAAAACGTGTTTAATAATATAATTTTTAAACAATATATGTATAAAAGTACTCTCTTTTTTTTTCGTTAATTTTGATAACTTATATATTTAATTACGTGCATATTTTAGATCATAAAAAAGTATTTAAGAATAATAAAAGAAAATTTATAAATTTATTTTTGTCTAACCAGAAACGTTGGTGTTTTAGTTTTCGAAAATTGAATTTATTTATTGTATAAAGAAAGTAATACAATAAAATTTCACAGACATATTCTTAATGATTTTATAACTATTATGGTAACAACTAATAAAAACGAAAATTTTAATTTCATTGTTTATTGTTCTATTTCAAATCACAGATAAAATTTGGTACATAATTTATTACATACATACAATAATTTCAAGAAGTCAGGGTAGTCAAGTTTGATCTAGAATACCCCTGTTAAACTTTAGTACATCGTGTGATTTCATTGATTATTTTTTATATTTACAATTTATCTTAGTGTATCTACAAAACCAAGTGCCGTAGTAATAGTGCACGATTTTTTTTTTGTGGGATATAGGTTCATGTATTTTCTGATCTTTTTATTTACTTTTCACATGTGAGAAATCTGTTTGTTTCTGATATTTAGTTAATCTGTGAGATGTTAATAAAGTGTGATTTGATACCATAATTTTAGATGGATATTTATTAAAGATTATTACTATTATACTATTACCATACTTGTCGCTTTGAAACGTGTTAAAAGTTGCCAATATTAGAAAAATAAATATATTCTTTCAATAGTTATTTACACTCAATAGTTAACAACTGTGTACAAATATTTATTTTATCTACAACTATTTAATAATAGACGCATTATAATTGTGATAGTAAGTACATAATGTAACTCATATTACACACCCGTGGAATATGAGTTTCATATTCCACAAGTGTGGAATATGAATTTTTATATTCATATTCATATTCATATTATCATGTCATTCCTTCATCAATTCTAGCTAAAAGAAGAACTACTACAAAATAATAATAATAATAATAATAAGCCACCTTACAGACCTTTTATAGTAGCTATCTACAGGGTGACCCATTTCAAATGGAAAGACCCACGCAATGGAAATAATTGTTATTCGATTTAATTCGAGTTTCTTTGTAAAGATAAGGCTTATAAAATTATATTACGTCGCATGACATTTGAATTGACTTTTCCTTATCAAGGGCCACATGTCATTTTTTTTTCTTTCTTAAATTTGATAAACATTGGTTAGCCTTATGACACTGAATTCTACACCCGCTTATTTGGGTTTCTACCAAATTTCGTGAATTTCGTGTCAGTTATAAAATTAAATTTCTAATTAGGGTAAACAATCTACAAAATTACAAATAAATTAAGTAAACTCCCCTGAGGTGAGGTATATTCAAATAAACAATATATAAAGAATGATAAGTTCAATCATCAAAAAAGATTAAATTAAAGCTTAATGTTATTTTAGGATTTGAAGAAACCATTTCCAATTAAATTTCTGCATCTCCTGTATATTTTTCGTGAAATACGTGATCTATGAGTAAAAGTACAAAGACCATAACAACGTTACGCGCAGTGAATCATAGATTATGTTATTTGGTTTCATAAAGTATTATTGGCTGCAAAAAAGGATCTAACTTTTAGCCTAGGAAAATTAACATTTGACTGACTTCGACAATATTCCCTCCAAGCTGAATTTTTGCAAAGAAATTCTTTGAGGTATCAATGCCAAATCCGCAAAAATCACAACATGGCTACCTAAAATATTGAAGGTCAAATTTTTTTGCAAATATGTCGCATTCTTTGTATCGGACTATACACAGAATGTAGATTGTAGAGAATTTAATTATCTATAAGATTGGAGAATAATTTTTAGAAACTGTAAATTTATCACCCTTGCAGATAATTAAATTCTTTACAACTTTTACAGAGACTTCATGGACGCCCGATGCATAGGAAACGAGAAACCATTTTCTTTGGAACTTTGACATTAATTATCTCGAAAAGAGCGAGGTTTTGGAAAAAAGTAGAAGATACCAATTTTACCAATTTTGTAGATAATTAAATTCTCTATAACCTTTATCGATGTCTAATGCATTTGGGTGCGAGGTATTTGCAAAAACCTTATTTTTGAAACTTTGTCATTGAATATCTAGAAAAAAGGAAAAAATCGGGAAAAATGCAAGAGACCAATGTTATAGATAATTAAATTACAACTTTTATATTGACCTTATGTCCAACGCATAGAACGCGAGGCATTTGTTGATTTTTGCGGATTTGGGTGTGCGAAGCCTCAACAATTCAGCTTGGAGGAAATTTTGTCGAAGTTTCCTCCTTTTTTTTCGTCTAATTTCCATGGGATATTTGTTATGGGTTTTAGAGTTTGAACCGTAAAAACTAAAGAGGCACAAAACCTGTTTTTTACATTTTCAAATAACTATTTTGACGGTTGAAACCCTTCACACCTCTTTTAATTCATACGCCACTGGTTAGTTTTAGATCAAATTTTCTGTGCAGATGGATAAACTATACGAAATTCGAAGCTTATATTTTTAACGATTCTTAAATAATTACTCTTGTTTCTTTTGTTTGGAACGGATCAGCCTTAAAAGTCTGTCACAACTTTTCTCTTACAACATTTATATATAATCTCGAAAAAAGCCTTTTTAGTCTACAATTCCTTCTATCTATTTTATAATTCTATTTATATTAGTTGTAATGTGGCCCTTTTATTCACCACATTGTTGACTTTTTTTACCTAAGGGGTGCAACTACTGTGATTTATTAGTGTCTCTTGTATTCTGTATTTTAAATTTCCTGAAATATAACTATAAAGTAGGCACAATGAATATTTGTACGTTAATCTGCTTTAGCGCAGACTTTGTCTCGTCACCAAAACTAATCGGTATCAGTCTTTGTCATAGCATGATTATCAATTCCTTCCAGGTTATTGCCGCTCACAGTTGAGATTGTTTTCCGGGAATCCGAAGGGTGGACTTTGTGAACTGGAGTGATATCCGCTGTTCCACTTTCTTTAAAGAATAGGTATCCTGCTGCAGATAAACCTAAAAGGGAGCCAAGAAGAACGGTCCATGTTGTGATTTTAACTATCTTTTGTATCTTGAAAAGGTCCTTCAGTGGTTTCGTGAATGTATTGTTAAGTTCTACTCCCTAAAAAATTGCAGATTATTTAATAGATTGACATTGTTTAGTTCGAATTTTTGACAAACCCATAAAGGTTAATAAAAAAATTGTTCTGTTATTTCTAACTCAACAGTAATTAAGGAAAAGGAAAAATAAAAATTGTAAGGATAATTTGTCTTGATAGTACGACATTAATGACAAAGTACTAATATTTAGTTAAGTCAATCATAGAATAGTACATGATTTTAGACTAATAATATGTTTTTCTTCACTAACCGTTACCAATAATTTCTGCCATGATTTGTCAAAAGTATATGGTCACAATATCTTTATTTCATTCTTTAACCATCAACTTATTAGTTGATTTCTGCGTAATTATACAGTACAACATTACAAAAATGAAGAAGGTTTTTTCTCATACAAATCTAAAAATATATTAATTCATAAATATTCGCTCCTGAAGTGGAGTTGAGGATAAAAAAAAAATTAAATAGCTTCTGATTATATTAAAATATTGAGATTAAATGTGTGCACAATATATCCAAAATAACAACAAAATCTATAAAAAACATCAAAACTTTACACCAAAATCAACAGCATTATTGACTTTATGCAAGACTTCTCCAAATTATAACTAAAAAGTGTGACATCATTTATTTTTTCCTATATTTAGAAATATTTAACGGCAATTTATTCACATGACCTAGACATTGACAGTACCTAAACAGTTTTGTAACTTAAGAAGTCATTGATTACCATCATCCACAACAGAAAACAGTTTCATGTCGTGAGAATAAAGTAGACAGTTCACATTAACATTAGCAACAACGTCATTAATAAATAAATTAAAGAGCAAGGGACCTAAGACGAAACCTTGAGGAACACCGAATGTAGCATCAAATTTAACAGACTTGAAACCACGGTACTTTACACACAAACACGTATCGTTAAGATATGAATTAAAAATATTAACTATAATTGGAGAAAAACCATATCAATTAGGTTTACTCAGTAGAATACGGTGGTCAGAGGCTTTAGAAAAACTTTTCTGCGAAATATATAGCATTTTAATTATTTTTAAATATTAAAAAACAAAAGAGAAGTATTGGAGGGAATGAAAATTAGAACGTCAGCCATCTACTACATTAATTATTTTATAAAGATGATTTCTATAGAGAAACCACTTCATATTTTTCAAACGACATACTCTCTAATTTTTGAAATGCAGTACCCTATTTTTGTGTCACATTTTGTAGATAATTTTATTTTCTTTGACTGTTATTAATTTATTTCTATATACTGAGGCATTTTCATCTAATGTTATAGTCCAATCAATAGGTAGAAGAGCTTACAAAAAATACCACCTGGAAAAAAATATGGTGATATAGGAAAAAAAATTGTATAAATTTCCCTGAAACTCATAAACTAAATTGAAATTTTCTGAATTATTAATCTAAAACTGTTAAAATTGGCGTGCATTGAAGTTTGACGCTGAATATATTTTAAACGCTTTATTTAATCGACTAATCATAAGAGACCGTTTTTGTAGAGCAGTTAATTTCCTACAAAACTATGAATTGCGCATTTCATAATGATTTTTTGTTAACGAGTTATAAAATTCATAAGCAAAACAGAAATTTGTCTTAAAATAATCAAACTTCAACCTTTAATATCTTTTAAGCGGTGCGGTTTACGAAAAAATTGTAAGAGACCTTTTTTGTAGATCGTTCTATTTCCTACAAGTATATGAGGAGAGATATTTTTAACGAACAGTAGATAGAGATATGAATTTTTTTTTTCTAATACTGAGGAAAAAATGGAAAACTTTAAAGCGGAGGACCTTCCTATTAAAATTAAGAGCTCATATTTGAAGAGAATTTTGTAGAGGTGTCTAGCAACCTATTTTTCAGAGTATACAGTAAAAAAAATAGTAGATTTTTTTGACCCACCCTAAACTACAACTTTCTCTTTAACTTTTTTCGATTGCAGTTCATTTTTTTTATTAGCGAAAAACGGTTTTTTTACCTTTATGAATTTTTTAGGTTAACTTCGCCGTATAGGCGCCACAGGAAAAACACTACTCTCTTAGAAATTTTTTTCCTATATCATCATATTTTTCCAGGTGGTATTTTTTGTAAATTTAACATTAGGCCATCACAGATTGATTGGACTAGTAAGTCTGTATAATATAATATTCCATGACACACAGGAGTCCAATAAAATTAAAACAATAGGGTTGTTGACCAAATTTCAAAAAGTAGATAATATAATTCTACACGTACGAACTAGTGTGTATACACAATTAGAGATTGAGAAATGCGTCAGAACAGTTTTAAAATAATTATTTAAAACTGATTTTTTTATAACATTTCAAAACGGCTGTGACGTCATAAGAGGCACCTTGTAGTGAAATTATGTGTAAATGATTGGGTAAAGGAAAAGAATTGGAAGAAGACACTGTCGACACTGTCAGTAGTGTCAGTCTGTCAGTGACACTGTCGTATAAAATATTTTCAAGTCTATGAGTTATTTTCCTTAATCATTTAATATCTTCCCTATAATTAAAGCAGAATGTGTGAAACGGGATTTGTGAAAACTACTTCGCAAATTTTACCGAAAATTGATATTTTTATGATCATGAATTGAATTTTTAAAAAGAGACGAGCGTTTTAATATTGGCGAAATCAGAGGTATAAAAGAAGTCAGGTAAGGATCAACTTATTTAATGAATGATTTTATTGTGTTTATTTATATAAAATACCTATTTATTTACGGAAATTTATAGTGCAGTTCGGGAGTCTTATGGAGATAATGCAATTGGCTATGTGGAATGTAGATTGTGGAACAAAACACCACTTAAATTTTGTTGAATCTATTATAATCAGGAAAGTAATAATAACTATCACAAATACTCTTAATTAATAGACTGCTGTCACTAGTGTCACTTTTGTTTAAAAAAAAAACAGGAAACAGAGTAGCAGGGTTTGATGGACAATTTTAACATATTTTCTTCTTCATCAAAATTATGCAATAGGATCGCTACGAGCTTCATGTTCAATTGCCCCTTATGACATCAGACTAGTTTTTAAGTAACGCAACAATTCATAAATGATTTCTACCACTAATTTGTCATATATTTAAAATTTGACTATACAGACAGGTTCTTTTATATAAAATGTTTGACTCAACAACAACTTGTATATGGTTTGTTTTTATAGTGAACAACCCTATTACCTACCTCATTAGAGGATTTAATTCTTATAATTGCTTGTGAAACGTCATTTCTTCAAAAACAAAATATTTGGAAGAAGAAAATTTTCATGCAATAACTTAAGGAAAACTAAAATTAATCATTTATAGCAAATATTGTTTTATGAAATTTACTATTATTTGATAAATCTATGCCAAGTAAATCATATACTTTATTTATCCGTTATAAATAGTTATAAATAGTGACTTGTCAGTTTTAATCAAGCAGAAAAATCTCAACTAAAGAAAACATGGGAGCTACATGCCATGTGCAGCATTGAATTACAACCCCAGTATCTAATAAACAGTTAAAATCATTTAACTGCATCAAACATAGACTGGTTTCGAACTTATTAGTTCTCGACTGTGTGCCATACGTGAGATGACAAACGATTTTGCCATTTGGATCTATCGACACGTTTTGAGGGTGAGTAAGATTTAACTTACACAGTATGTCATATCTTGAATGCCATTGGTACTCAATCCTTCTTTCATAGTAGCTACAGATTAGTACTTCGTTCTTTACCAGTTCTTTACCGTTCTTTACCAGTAAGTAAGTAGTAGTAAATAATGCTTTATGTCAGTAAAAAGCATTGTGTAGTAATGACATTTAAAATATAACATACACTTTGAAGGTTAGACATCCTCCATACTTAAAACGTGTCGGTAGATAGACATTTTAACCTATAAGTTCAGAGAATATAGAATTACTACTTTTCTTACCTCTTCTACCCAAAATATTGGCAAAACTGTCTCAGTAAAGTTGTTAAATATGTCCACTTTTGGATTTGCCTGTAGAGGCATATTAAACTGCAGACGTTTCTTTGCATAAACTGGACCACCTGTCATCTGAAAAGAAAACACCGCTTTAGAATTTTCATATCAAGCAAGAATATTAGAAATAAATGTTGACTTTATCATTTATTTCGAAGAGTGTAGATTTACTTACTCCTTCGAACAAAATTATAATTTCATGTTTGCTCTTGTCCGGTCTTAAACCATTGACACCTTTCAAGTAGCTTTCATGGGTCTCATAGAAATGAGGTAAAGATACATAAATAGGAACTCCTATGCACTTGTAAAGGTCCATAATGCCTTTTTTCAAGCACGTTTCCGGTGTGGGACAGTAGCATTTTTCATCCTCATTTTTGGACATGTCGCCTAATGTCGCCGAGTATTTGCGAACAGGAATTCCGTCGTATTTAGTTTTTTGCTGATATTCGGCCACAAGAGATCTGAAACATACGAGTATTTAGTTATAGTTTTATGTTTAAGAGAGATTCAATATAGGTGCTATTTTACGGTTAAGGATACCTGCAATGAGACACGACTTAAAAACTGAATATATTACTTGTCGAACCCAGGGTTTTATTACGCGGATATCATCACAACTGGGGGACCGCCTAGCCGAGTGTCTTGGCCGACGGATTTCGATCTGCCGAGGCAAGCATCACGGACGTGGGCTGGAATTTGGATGGGTGACCTAAGGCAGACTCGGGGACGTGGCTGTGGCAGCCTACCAGAGACCTGGGTCGCCCAACTTTCGCCGCACGCGTGTGGTCCCCGATAAATGGTAATGAGAACAGAGCAAGAAATCTCTGTAACTCAAGACCCTGCTATCATACATAAACTGTACGAGACTTTGCCACCAAGCCATCCGTGAAGTAAAATAGGATGGTTTGAAGAAAAGTACTCGAATAATGAAGGAGGGTGTACAAGGGGCCTAATAAGGCCTAAGTGCCGCGGTGGAAGACAATTCCACCACCCCTCCGACATACATACATACATACATCATCACAACTGACAGAAGGGGAAAAAATCATTTGAGGTGCAAGTACCTACTATATGAAAATATTAAAACTTTGTTTTAAGATAACAACATGTAACATGTTTTCCAGTTGTTGCATTAGCTTATTATAGATGGGGATAAGTGATTTTATCTTATAGTTCGGCTTCTACGAATCCACAGAATCCAAATATATCATCAAAGGAAGAGTATTTTCCAAAACTGTATCTACGAAATTTTATTTTTGGAAAATATGGACCTTCTTGTCCCAGGAACTTCAATGTAAATTGTGTTCTGTCCAAACCAGAAAGGAATATTTCCGTTCCCCTGGGTATGCCGGTCGGTAAGTGTAACTTCAGCTTCAAATTTTTGCAGGCTCTTATCAGGTTCCGGTATCTACTCCTGGAATCTGATACAATTGCAACAACAATATGCAATATGCAACAAGTCAGTGCTGTTCGTGAACAACTTATGTTGCATCCATCCTTTAGGAGGAAAATTATAAATTGATCCTAGGTGTTGCAACACACTTTAATGGATCGACAAGATTTTTTCTAGGGAAGATCAGGATTGGAGGAACAAACTGACTGTCAGCGATCACTACTGCAATAAACGTCAAAGTGAATAACTTTCGATTGCAGTTATAGTTTTTCCTTTTTTGCCTTTCACTTGTATAACATTACTCTCATCTACATTTTTTTATAGAAGCTTTATAGTGCTTGAACGAAAAAGGTCTCAGTTAGCCTTTGAATTGAAAACACAATTTTATAACAATGTAAAATTGTATCTAACTAAAGTCCTGCAATGCAACTTTTAAATTGATGGACTATCCTATTTGTCAAATCTGAACTATGCGCCATTCTGCAAATATATATTCGTGTTAATTCACAGTATCTAGATTTCGCCCTTAGAATACATTGTATAAGTTGTTCTTCTGGGTCTTTTCCAAATACTATTTTTCTCCCAAATTGAGTGTCAACTACTACTTGAGTCTCAAAATTGTATTCTTTTTGTCTTTGCAATGTCAACCTTACAACTTTGAAATGTTTACAAACGTTTCTTAAGTCTATTACTTTTCCATTTTTCATCTCCATTGTTTTTTCCATGTCAGAAGAGTTTTTTATGCACATTGACCGGTCAGTGGAAATATTTAAAGCTATTGGCAATAGCTGATGCCATCGATAACATAAATTTTATTGGGTGGCCCATATTAACAACTACACGACCCTCGTTTGAACCTTCTTCTCTACCTATGATGGAAATCAATTGGCCCTTGACAGTTTTGGGTAAGAAGTAAATAACTTACACATATTTCGAAATATCCAACAATTTTAAAATCACCTTTTCTCTAGATAAAAAAACTTTTTGACGCCCTAAACAAATTTATAAATAAACATTACCTGCATAAATCTGGAGCGAATGAAACAAGCCCTTCCTCCTCGCTCAGCAAGGGTGGAAAAATAGTGCCATCGGTACCCCTAATAGCATTGCACTCATCAGTTGGCCATACATCTATTTTATCAACTCCATCATATTCCAGAATCCTTCCTACATCCTTAAAATTATTAACGCCTCTGGCTGCCTTTATGCGTTTGCCAGGCGTAGCATTTTTCTAAAAAATACTATTGCAAGTTTGTGGTTGGCGATTACTGAATACTTACAGGAGCTAACAGAGCAAAAGCAAGTTCGTTTTCACTGACATGTCTCAAGGTAGGTGCCTCTTTTAATTGCGAACATATGGCCTTCCCAGCAAAATCTTTGACATCGCAGTTTATAATTACTCCGTCGAAAAGGATATCGTTGGCTTTCGCTGTTAGAAATATTGATGCAGGGTTTGAGTAAATTGATTTTATGGCCTTGTTTACCAGTGTTAGTGCTCCTGGTTTTTGAATCACAACCGTGTTAACCATACCCTAAGAAATAAAGCCTGGATTACATTAAAATATATTAAATATAATTTGGGTATGTTTTTGAAGGACCTACACAGACTTGAGGCGGATTATTTCGTAGCTCTGACGATGTCGGGAATACAAAAAAGTGTCCCAAATAAACATAGTTATTAATAGAGCTCGCGGGACTAGGTCGGATGATTATAGCTGTCGCGTCGGCCGTTCGCGACAGCTCACCGTATGAAACCGGTAATAACAGTATTTATCGGCTTCGCGTTTGCTTCGTGTATACGTGTTTTAATATTCTAATAACGTCAAACGCGCCAAGGGGTAAAAACGACCTTTCGCTGATAAAATACGCAAATTTATTAATTTTTTTATACCTCTTTATTCATTTGTTTACGACGAGCACGCATATGACTAGCCGACAAAAACTCCGAGCTCTAGTTATTAACATGGTCTGATTGTTTGTTATTCTGTATTATTTACAATCTCTTATTAATTATTTTGATTATATTTAGTTATTGCATTAGAACATACCTATGTAAGTATTTGCATAACACTATGAAACAAAAAGGGACAATGTCTATTTTTCTACACTAAACGCTTCACATGGAACTTACCATAAAATATATAGGTACAGCACGTAATAATAAGTACCAGCAAAAGTCAACAAAAGAATTTTTTTTTTTTCTCATAAGGGAAGTAATTCCAGAAAATATTTAAAAGTTGTCTTAATATTTAAAAGTTGTGTAAGTGTTAATCGTCTCCGGCGATCGGTAAATAATTTTTTCAAAAACGAAAATGACCGTTCAACATTTACCGAGGTCACAGGCGCATATCTAAAATAGATGCCTCTTTTCTGCCTCTGATCTGAAGCTTCGCATCGATCAATTTATTCGATACGTATCTAGTGGTACACTAAAGCGAGTCTGGCGCATGGCGTGTCGGTGAACAAAGAAGGTTGTTTGCTGAGGGACGTTGGCGGTGCATTTCATTATCGTTTGTGCATGTGTGAGTGAGCGAGTAGCATTGTGAGCATAGAGCGGCACACGGCTTGACTACAGATTTAACCTATCTCTGTTACTACAAAGTGTATTGCCGCTTACTAACATAATATAGATTATTACCGTTTATTTATTTGATTGTTGCCACAAAGTTTCCGATGTCTAATTATAATTATCGAAGTTTTTCTTGACAATACTGGATGTTTCCTTTTTATTAATTATTTTGTTATTGATATGCATTTTTCATATGTATGCTTATTTAATATGTCCACTTTGTCATAAAAATTACGGTTGATTTGACAAAAACCTCACTAGCACTTTCTTGTAAATATTTGTCTCATATTTGACCAACTTTACTTCTTCTTATTAGAGTCAGTAGTCATTTTTATCATAAAATTCCATAGTTATGAAGTCATAAAGTAAATGTTTTATTTAGTCATTCATTGCTATATGTATGATAATATAATATTAGAGGAAAAGAACTTTTTTGTAGATTAAATTTGAAAATTTCAAAGAAAATTAACAGCCTTGTCCCTTGACTAACCTTTTAGCGTAATTATTTAAAAATAGTAATAAAATATACCATAAATAAATAATTAGACAGTATTAGTATCAACCAAATTGTTAAAGATGATAGGACAGTCGTGTCATTGATATCACTATTTCTGATAGAGTAACGCTGTAATAACACTAAATTTATTTTATATTAATACACTTACAAGTATCATTGGATGTGGAATAGTGACTACTTCAGTTCCTGAAAGACATCCAGGCCACATTACCTGAATGAACGTGTCTTTTGCGTTGTATAAAATAGTGTCATCTCCTTCCATATCCTGCACGTCCACTTTTTCCTTCCATTCTCTAAAAATTATTAAATTAATAGATACGCAAGCCGTTCAGCTGGATAAAAACCATTTAAGCTAGTGCTGAAGAAAAATCTTTGCCCTAACCTAGTCTAATACAAACTTAAACAATTCAAAAGGAATCGTAGGTCTAAAGAAATTTGAATTCGAGAAAAACTTTAATACATTTCTGGCATTTAAGACAGACTAACAGATTTCTAAAACTAACACTTAAGGCTTACACTAATGTTTTCATTACTCCTAGGTTAGTGGAAAAAACATTTTTCTGTAGTTATGGATGTTTAATTGTTTAAAAGACTTTATAATAGTGTTTTTAATACGAATGATCAAATAATCTTCAGGTCATACGCAATCCATCATAAACCAAAAATACTTTTTCATTCATATGAATATTATAAATTTTTTCATGGCCCTACATTGAAGGAATAATTATCTTCTTATTCCAACTGAAACTAATTACAACCTTGCAGGCACCATTATGATTAAATAATAGGTTATACATACATTAATAATACATATTAATAACGTACAAGTGCAATAAATTATTGTTTATTGCATGTAACGTGAAATTGTCAAAGGAGGCCAAAGATTGAGTTTGACAACACGTAAAGTGTAGTAACATATTTTGCGCATGTCGCATACATACAGAAAACTAAATGGTTAATTTAAAGATTAAATAATGGTTTTATTGATATTAACCAAATTATTTGGTCATACATGCACAATAAAATATATGTTTCAGCCTGATTCCTGTTGATTTCCAAATCTTTGTTTAAAACAGTTATGCATAATTACTTCTTAACAAATATATTCTGTTGAATTGTTTTTTTTTCTGATTCGTAACTTATTTTGTTGAGCAGTTCTATTAATATACATAACAATAAACAGAAGTGACCGCTGACTGTTTCCGATTAAAATTTGACATAAATATTGTGTTTAGTTTCAGGTACTACTCATCATGATTGGATTATTACTTTTTATTTATATAAACATTTTGTTTGAAGCAGTATCAAAGAATTTGTAGTTTTTTTTTTTTACTTTAATGTATACCTGTAATAATAATTTTACTTTGTATACTTAAATATTATGTTTTCTATTTGGTTAATTTGATTATAATGATAATGAACACCACTTGTTTCTACTTAATTAAATATTATTTTGACAAGCAAAAGAAATATTCATTTAAATTAAGCGAGTTACATCATGTTTAAAAAGCAAATTATATTTACTTCACTGAACAATTATTTTCTTTCCGTCTACAACATTTTCTCTACAGTTGTTTACATAATAGCGAAAAATCTGAGATATCAGACACTTAACAACAATTTACCTTGACCATGCACTAGTTCTCAAGAGAGCCATCGCAGCAACCAAAGTTAATATTTTTGCCTTAAGGACAATCGGTCAAACCTGCCTGCCTGTCTTGAACTTTCAACACTGAGTATAGATGACATAGAAGAAGTAGGTCCCAGTTTAGTTGTATAAAAACGATTTGTTCGAAAACAGATAAAGTCGGACGGAGTGAAAAACGGATTAAATATGTCATAAATATGTCAATTTTAATCCATCTTAGACTGCACATAAGTTCTTCTTGAAGAATTGACGAAATAAAAAACTTCTTGGTAAATCAAGAAGAAGAAATATATCGGTTCATTTTCTAAGAACAAATCTCTGGAATGAACATTTGTGTACATTTTTTTAATTATTCTACATAAAACCACTTCACACCACAATTTTTTCTGTCACTGTGATATTCTTTTACCAACCTTATACTCTCATGATGCACTTTTAAATTCTGCATTTTTAGGGCGTATAGTTTCCTTTACAATTGGTTATATTATTCTGTTCCTTTGTAATTTCGTGCTAACCGCAGTTCTTTCCCATTACTAATATATGCGCGATGTATGAAACTCTAGAAGTGTTTAATATAAAATTTATTAAAGGGGATAAAATAACAGGAATCAATGGCTGTCGCGTGCTTACTTACATTTTAATTTTCATTCCTAAAATAGAGACATATATAATTTCACACAGCTAATACCACAAAAGTTTTAAACAATGTAAAACTGATAAATTATTCCTTGAACAATTTTTGTAGCCAATGAAGTAGAATACATCATCACTCAATATAATATTTTGCTGAAGACCTTTTGCTAAGCAGACGTTGTCATATTTTTGAGGAATATTTATTGTGGTAATATAATTACTAAAACGGGTATAGAGCACATTGATTCAAATTTAAAGTATTGGTATAACATCTAACGATTATCAATATCCAAATGATTGTGGAGAAAGAATAATTAGGTATCTACCTATAGCAGGAGGGGGGGAGGAGTCAAATATGTGAAAATATTCAGTTTATCTTTCCCTACCTCATATCTTCCAGATTGAATTTTTAGTGTTGTTAATCATGCACATTGTGACCAAATAGAGAAACTGTCTGAATGTTTCCAAAACAAAAGACTTTCAAATTCAATTTTCTTCAAAGTTCTTTGAAGTTGAGGTAAATTAAGTTATTGCAGAACCGGTGATCAGTAAGAAGATACAACGATACAAAAGTGAGCAACAGGCATAAAAAAAGTTGACTACCCTTTATTTAAACTAACAATTGATCATGGATCAAAATTTAGCTGCGGTATAAAAATATCTAATACTAATTATAATCATTTTAATAAAGTTTTAAAATTTATCAAGGTATGTTATCTGCATGTGGTTTAATATCATGATTTCTAATGTCCATCTGGTCGAACTAATTTAATCCGATTAGGTTCTGGGTGAGTGGTTGACCTTTTTGCCGATCTCCTGTAGCGCACACCTCGCTTTATATTTCGTCGAATAAATGCAGCTTTTGAATACATGTATACAGTGACTTTATTGATTAAGGTTTTGTTCAGATCCTCTGACAAGAATTCTACTTTGTCGTATATAAAGAGAACCACCTAGAGGACAGTGTCCAATATACAGCTCTCTTTTCCTATGATTGTGCTAAACAGTTCAAATAAGCTAATACTTGCAATTCTTATTAATGTTAACAAATACATGTTTTCTCCTACTCAAGCCAAGCTATTGGTTGTAACAGAAACCAAATACTAGTTCTGGTATTTGGTTTGTTGGTATACCTACAAGTTACTGCCTTCAAGTGGTCGGTTGTGTTTGAATGTCATTCATTTCACAGAAAAGCAAATATTGAAAGGCAGATTATAATTTAAATTGCGTATATATCTGAGATAATCACTAGAGGAGAGGGTCTTTCCACATCCTTCACCGATCTGCCTTCACATATTTGTAACCACTCCTTAATCTGTATACTGGAAAGTTTGAATTTGATTGTTCTTTGAACGCTTTCAAGACACCAAACTATTGAGCCAGCCATAACATATAACCAGTATTGCTTGTATTATAAGATATAAGCTCCAAGATTTTCTCCAAATACGCATCGTCGTATTGTTAATGGCATACTTACTTTATGAATGACTTTTTCTAGATAATCTAAATAAAAAATGTGATTTCTCTATCATCGGTTGTAATCGAAGGCTGTAGTTATTGTCGTAAATAAAATTTTGTTTTCTTATAAAATTGCATCTATTATCACCAAGATGTACTAATTTGTTGTACCTATATATTTAGCGCTATTATGTTTATTGTACAAGGTATATTAACATATGGACAAAAAAGAAATTAGAAAATATTGTCAATACTTACTCGTAGCAGAACGGTCCAACCTCCTTCAATGATGGCGCCTGACCTCTTTGAACTTCCATTGGATTGGTTACGTTAAAAATATATACTCTAAATTCTAAACCGAATGGAATTTTAAGAAACATGTCTCTTATTTCAGTTCCAGGTTTAAGATTAACCATCTAAAAAATAAAACGTTATGCTAATTTTATTAAAGAAAAAATCAAGTATTTAAATTTCCAAGTTATTCTTGAGTTGTTTAAAGATTCACTAAAAAAAAGTTTCAATAAATTAATGCCAAAGTGTGCTAAATATTTTAATCGATGAATTCTTGGGTATTAGGGAAACGGGAAAGCAAATTATTACAAAAATTGCTATACTATGTCGATCTTTAAATTGAATTTTATTTGCTAATACATACAGAGTGTTTTACTATTTATCTAGGTAACCTTTAGAACCAATAAAGCTATGAAAAATAATGTGTTTTTTTTTAACAAACCGGAAATGTTGCATGCAAATGTTGGGGTTATAAAGCGCCAAATTTGATTTTTTTAAATCTCTGTAACAAGTTGCGGAAGCACAGTCATATTCTAAGGACACTTCCTACTAATTATGGCTGTGAATTGATGCTGGAATTATGAACGGTACTTACACTAAGTACCACTTAGTACCACACTATAAACTAAAGCATTTTTTATAATGAGTTCCTTTTCCATTTACCTAATACCCAAGAATTTGTCAAGTAAAATATTCATCACAACTTGGAGTTAATTTCATTATAATTTTTATTCTACTTAGTGAAAAGGTACAAATCGACTAGTGCTTGAACGCCCTTTATATTAGTCTTGAAGAATATTTTAAATGAACTGTCGACATACTATATACAGGATTTTACTGTTACCTCAATTTCGAAGAATTTGACTATACAGGGCTGGAAAATCCACATGGTCCATCTGCCTTTACATGAGAGAGACAAAGTAAAGTAAAGAAATCCGTGCGATAGACGAGAATCGCTATAGTGAAGACTTTTCATAATCTGAATAGTCATATTCAGATTATGTAACCATCCTTGTCTATCGCACGGATTTCTATGACTTATTTTATCGCTCTCACCTAACGGCCGATGTACTATGGGGACTTTCCGAACCTGTATAATACTGACAACTAATATACAGTATGTCCGCGGATTGAGTTTAAAAAATGCATTCTTGATAAAAGTTTTTGCTTGTTTAGAAAATGCGAATCACCATGACGAATTTTGTTGTAAAGGGTGGGTCAAAAACAAAAAAATATTATTTTGCGTAAGAGTAAACATAGCTTATATCGCAAAATTCGAAAAGAGATATTCTTGATCAAAGTTTTAGCTTGAAAAGTGAATAAGAGCCATGTTATCAAAAATTTAATTAGTATTCTCTAGCTCACCTCTAATCACAGAACCTACGAAAGATCTACAAAATGCTGAATATTTAATTGAAAAAGTTCAAAATAGTGAAAGATATATTGATGAGTATCATAAGAATATATAATTATACAAATGCAATTATTTAAAAAGAAATTAATATTTAAAATGTTCTGAATTGCATCTAAAATAAAATTGCGACATTAAATCATTTAAACAGGTAACAACAGTGTCTAATTTAGCCTTCAAATATTATGATATAAAGAATATGTCCAATACTGAAATAAATATATCTAATAAAAATAATTACTTTCATTGCATATTGCAAATAAATTGTTATTAGCCTGTAAAATAGTTGTTTATTATAGAAATTGCTCTATACCGTACCTAGTTGTTGTCACGTTGTGATATAACTCTACAGATGTTTTCAGAAAAATTTTTAGTCTTAAATTAGCTTAAAACCTTTTAAATTAAAGTAAAAATATAAAAATTATTAAAAATGTGTAATTAAAAAAAAACGATTAGTGGTACCTATTATTGGATAAAAAAATAAAAATTGTAAATACGTAAAAAGTTGTTCCATAAATACATTATATTTAATGATGTCAATAATTATATAGAATTTTCCAGACCTTAAATAACTAGTTAATTAAGTATTATTATAAACACTGCTTTACAAATAGAGAAATATAAATAGGTAATTTTTATTTTCCAATACAATCATTTTTTAGTATAAAATGAATCAGAACCTCGCTAAACCCTATCAGGTTTTTTTTATACCCTAAATCTTCGCGGCACCAATATTAATGTTTACAATGAACAGTAACAAACCGTTACGCCTACGCTCGAGATAATGCGATCGCTGATTGGTTCAATAGAATCTCGTGAAAAATTACACCAATCACAGCTGGTGAAACTGAATGTTGTGTTGTAATGGTTGAATTATTTCCGGGCTAGTTGCCACGTCGTCGATTTACAACTCTTGACGTTTCTAGAGACATATCGCTCTCTTCTTCAGAAGTTACTCTGAAACTGGAGATCTACTAATCTTGTCACTATGTATATTTGATGTGGTCACTGATCCATGACGTTCCGGTGGGTGACCTCATACGCGTTGTTGATGCCACCGTCCCTGTTGAAATTGTTCGGATTTTTGTAAATTTCTAATGCTTCTCTGTATAGTCGGGGCCAAAATCGTTTCTCTCTCACCACCATGTTGGCTGCACTCAGATCCCCTGTGTGTCCCGTGTCCGCCCTATGCTCTGTTACTGCCAATTTTTCCCAGTTGTTATTTTGTGTTCCTTTAACCTCGTGTTGATGTGCCTTCCTGTTTTTCCTATGGAAACTTTTCCACAAGAGCAAGGAATACTGTACACACCGGGATCCTGGAGCTGGTCGTTGTTGCAGGTCTTTGGAAACGCTGCCGCCACCTTCTTTACAGTGCTGAATACTGTGTTAATATTCCTCTTCTTCAAAAGACGCCCGATTTTATCTGTACAACCTTTCACGTTGTATTATAATGTAATCTTGGTCTTATTGTTTTAATTTTACCGAAATTTAATTGTCAAGATGAAGGAAATAAAATTACTGTTTCAAACAAAATTACTGATCACGTGGCTTGTCATCATTTACAAAGGCTCTGTAGATAATGGTGCTATATCGTTATATAAATTTACTAGTACTCATTTACATACAATATAGTGAAAGAGTGTAAGCCTTTATGTTCTTAAATAGTAAAAAAATAGAGGAATTGCAGCTGCAAAACTGTCGATCAAAACTTTAGTACAGAATTAGACTTCACATAATTTAATAGTTTTAATTTTGATGCGTATCAACCGCGGTTTGACTCTGTTGCTGTTTTATATTGTTTTGGATTAATTTAACATATCCTGATGAAGTAGCTGAATAAGTACAAGAGTAAATGAGATCACGATGGATGATTTTGGGATTACACTGTCACTCCGAACAACTGTTGGGATATGTAAAGCGAAAGTAGTATAGTTCACCTAAATGTCATATGTTATTGACACTGTGATTCACAAACTAAACACAGTGTTTTAAAAAATAGCAGCAAATACTTGGAATGATATTAAAAAATATTTAATCCATCAGGCTAGTAAGTATGTCTATTTATTTTTATTATGTACATTTTATAGAACCGCAAAAATAGTTACCACACGAATATTATTTAATATGTTATAAATCATTGAAAAAATATTGTTTCTCGCCTGCATCGACAATATAAAAATATACTGTGTTATTTTAATGACACTTCACTACTGACAGTGTTTTCTGCCAGCGATTGAAAGTCAGTAGAACGTCTTAAGAACCATATCCGTACCCACTAAGGTCCAAAAGTTAAGCGATTTGAGTTTATTGTAAAATTAGATGCGATTTCCTGAACATATATTTTGTTTAAGAAGTGTATATTATTATACATATTGTCATTTATTTTAAATAATTAGCATTTTTATTGTTGTCTCTAACAAAAGTAATTTAAAATTCACTAATTACAGTACATAAACGACTGTAAATGACAACAAGATGTCTGTGGAAAGAGAATCTACGAATTCATTAAAGATTGAGCGCTTCCTAATTCGTTTGAATATAAAATTAGTTCCCTAGTTCTCTACTAATTCAGGACATTAAGAGGTAATTTTATTTGCTATTTTACAAGTACAATATTGTTATGAATTATTAACACTTATTGTTAGCTACCAATATTACCAGCTGAAAGACGTCATTTATAATAATCTATTGGGATTATGGTTGCAAATTATATACTGGGTCAAAAGTAAAACCTACAATAATAGCAATTAGATTTTCTAATACTGAAATTTGGTAAACGAAAGGAGTTATAATGGCTTATATTTTATATTCATTTATAATGACCTGTCTACAAAATTATATTTTTCTTACTTATGTATTATTTAAACATATCCATATTTTATTAAATATTAGGTTGAGGAACAAATAGGAAATGTTTTCTTTTTCAAAGTTAAGATATTTTTTTAATTCTACAATTATCAGTAGACTAATCAGTGATTGCCCATCGTTATTTGACCTTTTTCCAATGTTCAACAAGTTTTTCGATGCCTCTTCTGGAAAAATCCGGTTTTGACTCGAAATTCTCATCCAACCTCTTAGCTCATTGTCGTTATCAAAAGAAATACCGCGTAAAGAGTTTGACAAGGAGCAGAAGATGTGAAAATCAGAAGGCGTGATAACGAGAGAATAAGGCGGATGGGGCAGAACTTCCCAATTCAACTCTCGAATGGCCGTTTTATTCGTATTTAGTCGTCATCCCATATTTTAATAATCTCACTTTGCGATAGTGCAATAGAACTCTCTTTGCGTTTTTTTAAATTACTTTACAACTTCTCTCGTCTAGAATTGCATGCTTTATTGAAAGAATCGGCGAATTGGTTGAAAATAGCATAAATTTTTCAAAATACATAATTTGCAGAATTTTTGCCATGATAGTCCATATTGTTTTCACAACGTAGTATTTACAATTATCCCCATATTTCTTTTTCATGTTGAAACGCCAATCCATTAATATTCTTGTCCTCAATACAATGCTGTGTGTGTAAATTAAAATTTCCTTTACATAAAATATTCTAAATTGGTTGCAAATTGATGACTGGCTTTTTTTGTATTTTTAGGAATACAATTTTCGATACCATTTACTATTTCTTCTTCACACGTATTGCCAAATCGAGACATACCGATAAATTTTTGATTTTGACTTTAAATAAGAATGATAAATTTTAACAGTTTTAA